AGAGGACATGACTGGAGATGTCGTGGGCAGTGGAGTGCAGTGTGGCTCAGTGTGTCTGTGTGATGTTCACCTCCAGCCACACACACACACACACTCGTGCACACACGAACATTCAAACTAAAAAGACCTTCAAGTTCTTTCTAATGTACCTCACCAGCAGAGCTGTCCTCTCAATGTGAGAATGACCCCAACCCCAACATGTAGCCTAGGTTGTGTGCTGTTATTTATTCTGAAACCTTAATTCTTAAATCCGAAGTAATTTAAACCATTCTGTCGCAGAGGTGTCTAGAGAGGAGTTTGCGTAGCAGACTGCCATGACTGAGGAAGCTAACTCAAACATTTGTTCATATAAAGCCTCTTGAACTTGAAATATAGTAGGTCTGTTATGTAGGTATAATAATAATGAAATAAAGTAGGTCTGTGTAAAGGTGTTTTTACTGAATTTGACAGCCTTGCATGATGTTTAGCCGACTGTTGCTAAATGTACTGAAAGGCACCCTCTTGCATCTTTTCACTGAAACCAAAATCTAAGTTAAATCTATGTGATTTCTACCAAGAAAGTGCTTGGATAAATATTTTGAAATTCATGTGTGGCTTCATATCAGAAGGCAACAGCTGAGTTTGCACCTCACCTGTAGTTCTGATCCCTTCACTCAAGCATCAGGCCAAGGTTTTGGAGGCGCTAGACACAGAATGTGTTATCAAAGCTCTCTGCAAACCAGGGGAATTTGTGCTATCTTACGTAAAGCAAAACCTCACAGAGCAAGGACCTGCAACACTGCTTCCTATGCCCTCAAATCCTGTACGAAACAGCCAGATCCCATTTTCACCAACATTTTTAAGTATTTGCCAGCTTTGTCTGCTGTCCCAATTCTTTTCAAAAACACTAGCATCAAGGGAGTGGTGTGGAAATGTTGAATCTGAAAAATGAGGGAAATTGTCACATCACCACATCATAACTACTAGTTGATTGCATTCGGTTGGTCATCGGCAGCTGGTTAATTTATCATGTGAACAATATGCACATACAATATAGATCTCCTAGGATGGTTCAATGATTGACATTGCATTAGATATAGACTTAATGTTACAATCAGTTACTAGAGTTATGATACAGAAATTGAAGTGTCTGATACATTTACTATTGGTGCATTGTTTGCTAGCATGGTCTATTTTTTTAAATGATATCAGACAATGTACTTACAGGTGCTATTTCAAAACTATGGGTTTACAACTGGCATTTAAACTCTGTCAGCCATTTGAGCTCAATTACTTGTGATAAACTTAGAAATTCATGAGTTGTATAGTTTAGATGAACTGTCCAAAGTCAACAGTGTGCCCTGGAGTGGGTGGTGATGAGTGATGTTTATTGCAGCATTTCTGGGGCTGCATTCACAAAAGAATTAAATAAATAAATAAATCCTCCTTAGAACATATTATAATTGTGGGCTTATGTGGAAAAAGCAGGAGACAAGGATGGGCAAGAGTAACAGAGGTAGCGTGTGTGTTCTTGTCAAATCTTAAAGTCTAGCACTCAGACAGGTGTGAGACTGTCGTAAAGTTAAAAAAAACATTTAAGATAATAATGTTGTTGAGAATACCACTTATTCTTAAAATCATTCTTAAAAGAGTTGAAAAAAAATTGTATGTAGTTCTTAAGAATTCTTAAGAAGTTATTTGAAGAACGAGATTTGTTGGTGACTTTTTTCATAAGAATGAAGTGAGGAAAAAACACACATTTAAGAAGATTTTCCTTCTTAAGACACTTTTGTGAATCTGGCCCCTGGTTCCTTGGATTCCCTGCAATTTGCGTACTACACGTACAACACCCTCTCTCTTGTTGACCAGACTATCCTCGATCTTCTGGATGCTGGGTTTGCTAGTAGGCAGATTTCAAGTGTAAGAATGGGAAACATAACATCATCCCTGTTGATCCTGTACACTACCCCCCTGGAGTGCTTCCTCAGACAACTGCAGTATTCATTACAATTTGTTTGCTTAAAACTGCAATGCAAAATGAACTTCATTAAATTTGCTAATGATGCCACAAAACCGCATGCAGAAATAAGGTGGCTAAACAACAATCTGGCAAGTGAGGAGAGGAAAACATGCAATATTGATAGGGCAAACTCTTGTATTTGCTCCACACTCCATGGACTGCAGGTCTTTAAGAAATAATTGATAATTCTGGAGCTTGCATTAAAATTACTGAAAAGGTGCTGTAGAGACTTCGCTTGCAGCAGCTTCTTTGGCACTAGTTGGTCCTTGTCAGCATCCATTCTGCCTGGCTGTTCGGCCTCGAAAATCAAGCAAATTTGCATGGCTACTTTATTTGTCTTTCCACAATTTTGGGTGCTCTGTGAGCTGTAGTTTGCGGTGTGTGAACCACAGGCGAACATCAGACGGTCTTCATTGGCAATAGTTCTGTTTGAGGTAGACATTGGCTTGGTGAGGTAGAACTGTTTTTATTTTTAAGTGGATGCTGGTCAGAGAGAGCTATATTTATCAAACATCTTACAGTAAGGATGCTGATTTGGAATCAATTTTGCTCATCCGACCTAATGGCAAATATTATATGAACATAGGGGACATAAGGGGTCTTAGATTATCATACTGAGATTGTGTTGATCCCAGCAGCCGGTTGTAGCTGTTACGTTCTTGAGCCACTTAATGACAAGTTCCTCCAAGGGCAGTGTCCTCACCATTGGTTAATATATGCTGCTTTAACCGCTTACCAAACCAAAATTTTATGGCACACTTTTATAACCTGAGAAAAGCTCTATTAGTTTGCATTGAAGTCCCTGTGGTTACTGAAAACTAAGCCTGGAATGTTAAGGGGTTAAAGTATTGGCTTACGTTAAACAATATATGGCACTATTCTGTGCTCACATGCTCAAACATACACTACACAGAATCATGTGTAGAGTCAAGCAAAGTTTGTTTTTTCACCTCTCACAATGTGAACTGACGCATTCGCTATCTTGCCTCTCGCTAGTTGTGTTACTGCATTAGTTGTGCTACCATTTTACTACACTTAAATTAATACAGTGTGCTTTTGTCAAAAATGTCTATTATTATGCAGAATCATGCATCAAGCAAAGGCTATATTTTTATTTGTTGAGTGTGAAAATGTTTGAAAAACATTTGTTCAGAGGAGGCTAGCACAAATGCTAATTGCATTACCTTCCTAACTAGCTCATGATACTTTAGCAAAGTCTTTACAAAGTATAAAAAAATTCTTAAAAATAATAATCAACACATCAACATTCACTTACTGGTCATTTAATAGTGCCTAACTATTATTTTTAACTAGCAGTAAATAATTTATTAAATTGTCTTGGGCTGCAAGTATTGGCAAAAACAGAAGAGAACACCCTTGAGTACCATTAGGTCCTGTTTGTACCTGTCGTAACAAGGTACCAAAAAACATAAACCTGGAACCTTCAGTGCTGGACCAGTGACCAATGGAAAAAGCCCAGTCCCAGTTTTCTAATACCAAAGGTTCTGTTACTTTGTGCAACAGAAAAATGCCATAAATAAACTAAATATAACAGCCTGTTAGATCTACAGCATAGGGCAGCAGGTCACATAGCAGGCTGTAAACACTGTGAGATCCCAAAGTAGACTTTAATTTGTTCAGTATATCATGTCATATATAAATCCCAGAGACACTGTGAATAAACGTGGCTTTCTTATCTTAGAACAACAGCACCTTGCCTGTCTATATCTGCAATTATTCTGAACTGTGCTTATCAACAATAAAGTGAAATGACTAAGCCAGTGACACTATAGTGCTATGGCATACCCAGTCCAACAAAAAGTATGTGTGACATTGGCTCTGAGTTGACCTGCCGCTGATAGCTGCGCTATCTTAGTGTCTTTCATTACAGTCTGATAACCCTTAATGAAGGCTGCTCTGATTAATGAGCTGTACAGACACCGAGGACTAAATACTGCAAGCTTTGTGATGAGAACAGCATGCCTCCACCTAACACCAATCACAAGGTCGAATAGTCTGTCTCAGTTTTACAGCTCCATTCAGCAGTCCTTCTGATACATAATATGTAGATTATTTTAGCCTGTAGATGAATAGATACACATGAGTAAATTGTTTGTTTGTTTGTTTGATATGCTGTATTAGTTGAATGACACTGAGCAAATACAAACAGATACAAAGGAAAAATATTTGGAACAAATTCGGGAACAGTCTTTGCAGATAAATCTGCAAATCTTTTTTACCAATTCATTTTCTTCCAAATATCCACAGAGTGTGAAAATGCTCCAGAAACGTTCTGTAAGTAACAAAAATCATCCTCTAAATCATCATTTCAAAAAAATAATTTTCTGGCATCCTTGGTTTTAAGAGTATACATCAAAATAGAGTTATAATTAAAGTTTGGTAAGAAGATCATGCCTGAAGCTCCTCCTCCTTCCAACCTAACATCTTAAAGAATCCAGTTGTACGTTTCAATTCCCAAGGCAAAGTTTTAGTAATTCACCACCACCCAATCCTCAGTCCTGTCTCTGTTCATTAAAAGCAGGTCTGGCCATCTAGCTAAAGCAGAAGCTGCCCAGAAGTCCAGCCCATGTTCATATGTTGAAGACATGGTCTGAAGTAGCATATTTCCTTCTGTTCTATTCTATGTTTCCATCTGCTTCATACAGCTATATCAATGGTGCCCAGTCTTACCCCGAAAGGGCCGGTGTGGCTGCAGGTTTCATTACTACAAAGCAGGAGCTCACATGATCTGTCATTTAAAGACAGACCAATTGATTAAGTAAGTAAAATCAGATATGTTCCTGCTTGATTTGAATGAAACCCTGCAGCCACACAGGCCCTTTGCGGATAAGATTGGACACCCCTGACCTATGTCCTATGATATAGGCATTGTAAAGGACAAAAGACCATAAAGCAATTTGCTTAGGAAACTTTATCTTTAAAGTTCACCTTGACATATTGTCCCTATTTAATTTATTTAATTTTTTTTTATTTCTTTCAGAACTATGGTCTGGAAACAGAGAACCTGCGGACCCTTTCACATAAGCTCAACGCCTCAGCAAAAAACCTGCAGAACTTCATCATGGGCCGACGCAGGGGTGGGCATTATGATGGACGGGCTTCTCGACGCCTGCCCAATGACTTTCTCACCTCAGTGGTAGACCTCATAGGAGCTGCCAAAAACCTACTAGCCTGGCTTGACAGGTGTGTTACAACACTAGTTAACTACTTTCAAACAAGTATTAGTAGACCAATAACATTCAGTGACTCTATTGACTCTATTGTTCAGTGACAGTATTGTAGATATATATGTAGCGTTAAGCCAATTTTCTGTTTGTGATTTCTTCCAGATCATTTCTTGTGGTCTGTGCAGGATTACAAATAAATCCATTCACCCAATGTCTTTTTTGGCTTATAGGTCACCCTTTGTCAGTGTTACAGAGTATTCGCTACTGAAAAACAACATTGTTCAACTGTGCCTGGAGTTAACCACAATAGTACAACAGGTATCTATTACACAGCTTTCAGTGTTTTTGTTGGAAACATATTTTAGGAGTTTGCAATTTGTTGCTTTTAGGTTCAAATCTCGGTTACTGAAATATGTACGCTAAAGCTAACTCATCTCATTTTAAACAAAGGCCAAGGGGCCCTGTTAGTGTGATGTAAATGAAGTGGTTTAGTTTCATGGAGGGTTCAGCCGACAACCTCTCGGCATTGTAGTTTGTGAATCAGTTTTTAATCCCTCCAACAAAACTCTCTACAGCAGTTACAAACAGAGAATAGAATATTAGAATATCAGACATGATGTTAACACACATCACTGTAGCATTAGCAGCACTGCTGGTGATACGTCACTAGGCCATGTATGTGGCAACCTTGATGGCAGGTGCATGGTTGAACCAAACACTCCACAGCATATCCAGTGAAAAGTGAAACCGTGCAATTCTACATAGCCACATCTTATGCAAGTGTGCACGTTCTCTGCCCTGATCATAACTTGTTTGTTTTATATGGAGAAATCCAAGAGTGGGTAAATATCACATAGACAGAATGAAAATATTGATAATAAATATCTGAAGCGATATCACATCAATCCAAAATCGAGCTCTCAATACATGAGATCATGCTAGCAACAAACCATTTTATTCATTGCTTGCTATGAAAGTTGATCTGTGAAAGCTATGGCATAGGATACTGCACTGCAGGGCCAAGCTGAGGCTTAGGAAACATGTGGCTTCACTGGCACCTACTGAAGCAAAGGTCTTAGCCGGAGGCCTAGCGGACCGTTGCTATGCTGATCCAAACCCGTCTGAGCCAAAGGCCTTGTTTTCCCATACTCCACAAACAAAACCGTTCATGGAGTCTTTTTGCACAATGAGGCCGGACATTGCCTGGCCAGTGGCCTCCTTCAGGACCAAGGCAGCTTATGTGTCCAAAGCTGACATGCCTGGAGCTCAAGAGATAACCGAGCTGGGCGAAAGCATTCGGCCAAGAACAGCCAGGTGGAAACTGGGTTATCAAGACCATACAGAACATCAAACAGGGCTGTAACTACAAGGGTAGATGTGGAGGTCTGTCTACTGTGTGTGTATATATATATAGGCTAGTTCTCTATAAGGATTCCCCTGATGAAATATCAAGCTACCCTTCATTTCACCTCTCACCCTGATTTCTACAGTGTTCTCAATGTGTCCTGTCTTTGTTGCTGTATCCTAAACTATATAAACTAGTTCTTGATGAACACTGTAATTGTTTTCTTAGTGGTATGGTCTGGATATAAAGTGGCATGCAAAAGTTTGGGCAAACTGATCGAAATTTCTGTTACTGTGAAATGCTGAGTAAAATATTACCTGATTTCTAAAAGGAAAAGTTAAAGATGACACATTTATTTAATATTTTAAGCAAGATTACTTTTTTGTTTCCATCTTTTACAGTTTCAAAATAACAAAAAAGGAAAAAGGCCTGCAGCAAAAGTTTTGGCACCCTGCATGGTCAGTACTTAGTAACACCCTTTTGCAAGTACCATAAATTGTAAATGCCTTTTGTAGCCAGCTAAGAGTCTGTCATTTCTTGTTTGGGGGGATTTTTGCCCATTCTTCATTGCAAAAGGCTTCTAGTTGTGTGAGATTATTGGGCTGTATTGCACACACTGATTTTTTATGGTCTATCCATAGATTTTTGATAACATTTAGGTCAGGGGACTGTGAGGACCAAAAGCTTATGCCTCTTGAGGTAGTCCATTATGGATTTTGAGGTGTGTTTAGGATGATTATTCTGTTGTAGAAGCCATCCTCTTTACATCTTCAGCTATTATACAGTGTGATTTTTGCTTCTGGAATTTGCTGGTATTTAATTGAATCCATTCTTCCCTCTACCAATGAAATGTTTCCCGTGCCACTGGCTGCAGGTATTCTTTTTGTGAAAATCCTTTTTTTCCAGAAATACTTTTGCTTATTGTGGCCAGCTTCTTCAGTCCACAGTACTTCAGTCTTGTTTAGAAATCCCCTTGCAAACTTCTGATGTTGAATTTTGTGGTGAGGATGGAGGAAAGGTTTTCTTCTGATGACTCAGAACAGTGCACCACCACTCCAGAGTTAAATCTAAATCTTCCTGAAGCTCTTTTGCAGTCAAATGAGGGTTTTGATTTGGTTTTCTAGCAATCCTACGTGCAGTTCTCTCAAAGTTTTCTTGGTCTTCTAGACCTCAGCTTGACCTCCACCTGCCATTTTGTTATTACATTATGAACTGAGAAAATTATTGTCTGAAAATGCTTTTTATTTTAATTTTCAGAGCACTAGGCTGCTGTTTAGGGGGGCCCATGGCTGCTGATTGTTGAGCTAAGGTTTGAGGTATCAGAGGTTTGAAATTTGCATCACATGGCCTTGCCTAATGAAGATTCTGAACAAGCCATAGCCCTAACAAGCTAATTCTAAGTCTAAGAGCTCAAATCTTCTGGGATGGTCAAACTTTTGCATGGGACTTTCTTTTTTTTCACTTGAAAATTGTTCGAAACAAAAAAATCCACTAATCTTGCTTAAAATCTTGAAAACTTTGTGCTTTTTCGAGATCAGTTCATCTTCTTTCACTTAACTATTCACAGTAACTGAATTTTTGACCGGAAGTGCCCAAACTTTTGCATGCCATATGTATTGACTGTTTCATCCACTTTTATAGATTAGCATCCTGTGGCTGATGGCTGGTGGAGAATCTCAGGTAGTAGGACTTGTTTGATTAGAGGCAGCTCACAGGGGAGCCATCGCTTATCGCCCTATCTAATAACCTATTCTCTATTTACCTATTCCACTCTTCCTCAGCATAGAACCCCTTATACAATGTCACCTTCAGTCAGATTTATCATGCCATTAAGCTTAGTTGCATCACTTGTGCTTTGAAGATCCCCAACGTTGTCATTGGTTGCAGGATTGTACATGTCATATCCATTTTCCTGCTTGTGTATCTATTTTACACCACCACATCATCATCAGAAATCAGATCCAGGACCCAGACTACATCATGACTCACATTCTTTAAAAAATAAAACGTGCCAAAAAGGGTTCTTTCTAGAACTTCAGTTATCTAAAGAACCTTGTAATAAACGGTTCTTCAAATAATCCACATCAGGAATGGATTAATGACCGGGCCAGTGCCCACAGGCCCCTGACTTCCAGGAGCTTTGGGGGCTGAGACCACAAGGCCCTAGGGAGCTAAAATATTTGGGACAGTGCAATATACAGTATACATTAGATCAACGAATGTCAATTGAATTGTATAAAAGTGACTAAATTAATTAAATAAATGGAGAAATGTTTTCTTTTTTCAGGTTTTTTCTGTTACTTTTAGAGTTTTTAAAGTCTCCATTGATGGTTGTGCCCAGAGTCCTCACAAGATGGTGGTCCATCACTGCTCCACATAATGTAAAGGTTCTATACCAATTAAAGGTGTATCCTAAAGTCAAGAACCACTTAGGAACCTTTATTGTTATGCTGGCTAAACCTAAACCTTTCTGACCTCTGTGCGTAGTTAGAGAATACAGCGAAGCTTTCATAGAGTAAAATTAAATTTAACAGCTCAATTGACTATTTTCAAAATTCTGAGAAGTCCTGCCTTTCTTATTTATTGCTATGTCCATCAAACTTTCATCTCAGGCTACTTGGTAGCATCTGTACTAATAGGCTAATAAGTTTGAATCATTTTTCATTAAACAAGAAACTGGCTTTACAGGATATTCAGTGCAGATATAGGTGTTTCAGAATTGACAAAATATGAATGTTGGCCAACTGAAAGTGAAAAAAAAAGTAGAAATCTTGTTTACATTAATCATACCATGTAAATCATTTAGTCACATAACGTTAAAGCAGTAGGTTTTGACGTCTAGTAAGGGGGAGATTTTAGCAACAGAAGCTGCCCCTTCAGATGAGCTAACATTGGCAGGAAAACTGATCAGAGCATTGTAAGATGCTGAGGAAGACTTGCTGTTCTTTTTCAAAATTTACAATGACGTGTATGAGCACATTAATAGTCATCTTTACATACAATATTTAATCTAAGGTAAGTTAAGAAAAGCTAACTAGTTAGCCAACTGATCTTTACTTTTTTGTGATGTTATTTACCATTAGTCATATTAAAATGATTTTTAGCGTAAAAAGTCACCCAGATAATGTTAGCTTACCTTACAGACAGCATAATCATGTAAGTTGTTTTGTCATTGAGCTGTGAGAGTGGTTTTCCACATAGTTAAATCCAACTTCAGGAGTGATCCAGATGATCAGGATAGTGTGTTTCAGTTATTATATGTTCCTCAGCAACAACATTTCTGACAAATTTACTGCCACGGCCATTCTCACTGCAGGTTTGTTGTGAGGAGTTCAGTTTTTCCTTTTCTTGATGTAGTTGTGTTGAAATGGTGTTTTAAGAAGATTCATGCTGGGCAGGTGTACCTGTGTATAACAAAACTGTTTGCATCATGTTCTCAGCCATGACGATTAGGCTTAAATGGCACAGTTTTGTGATGGCTGTTGAGATTTGTCAGGCAGACGATTGATTCCCTGTGTTGCCCTTTAGCGCACTGGTTACTAGCCTCCAGTGGGACTCCTTTGTGCAAATGCTAACGATTTCACATGACATAGCCATGCCTTCTTGCCTTCATTAGAGGCGATAGGCTCTTTTGCCTGATTTCCTCTGATCTGTCTGTGTGTCCACAGGACTGCACCGTGTATGAAACCGAAAACAAGATTCTTCATGTGGTGAGTACCTCTCTCTCACTGTCTCTCTGTCTCTGCTCAAATGTCTTGTGCCTTCTGAAGTCTTTATTTAAACTTACTGAAAAAGACAGTATTCTTGGCTGTCTGGTTATTTCTGGAAGGTTTCACTCTAAATTCATGCTCTTGGGAACACAATGCTATATGTACAATGCTGTATGTACTGAATACATTAAATAAAGGAGGTGAGGAATGGCTTTTTTTCTGAGGCAACGACCTGCTACTATTTTGGTAGAACAAACACCATTAAGTCCCAACACGCCACTTGTTTGGCTGGCAGTTTTTCTGTAAACTATGAGTGTGTGCATTTTGCACTAGTCCTGCTCTCTTGCCTTGGCTCCATTGTGAGATAGTGTGGTGGAGGGGGAGGCCAGCTGAGGCCTGACCCATTTTCAGTAAAGCTCCGTCCTACTGCAGAGCCCCAAGCGCCTTACTCTTTCCACCTCCTACCTCTACAAATCACCAGTGTTAAATTCACTCCTGTAGAGTTACAATTACACCTACTGAGTGGAATCTGATGCAGTTTGACGTTGTACGACTTCATTTAACCCTCCTATGTCCCCTGTGGTGCACACACCTTCAGTCTCTCTTCTTACATTTTGCTTATTTTTTCCCTCACTCATAGCTCACTGAAACAAGCAAAGATAAATATACGAAAAGTACACATTCAAGATACGGGTTTGATCTTCCTATAGACCTGAACTTTAGCCAACCCAACCTGTTTAGGATAATTACCTAGCCCAGCTGATTCTACGACTGCACAGACAAACCTCCGCCAACACTACAACCACCTAAAGCACTTTTGCTGAAGGAAAGCCTTGTTCTCGGTTTGTTTTGCAGGATTGTTTGATCTTTTTCAAAAAAGAAAAATGCATGCCATGCATTGATTTTCAGGGGGCCACACTTACAGCGTTTTAAAAAAAAAGAATTCACCCATCGTGGGTTACTTTAACAGCCCTTGTTATTGATTGCCAAAATGTTATTTGTTAGGTCAGCACATTCAGACTCCAGTACTGCTGAGCAGGTTGAATGAGGTCATTGTAACTCTGCACTTTTTCCAATTTGGCAAGTTTTTCCTGTATTGTTTTACAGTTCCTCGTGCTTCCGAGGTACACCCTAAGATATATTAAATAGACATTTTATGCATTATCTTCCATTTTTAACCAAAGACCATTTGCTAAATAGATACACACACACAGACACTCTAGAGGTGGGAACAAGCCACTGAGTTGCAAGTCACGAGTCTCAAGTCTTGACACTCAAGGCCTGAGTCCCAAGTCAGAACAAGTGAGTCTGAAGTCAAGTCCTGCATCAGTACAGGCAAGTTCTAAACTTTGAGTCCTAAAAAAGCCAATATGCATTCTTCAGTTTTAATGCCATTTCAACAATAAACACCAAAAATGATAGAATTGCCTATCTAATGATAGCATGTTAGCAGTATAATGCAGAACATTGAAAACACAGGTGTTTTTTTATTTATTTATTATCCTTCCAAATAAATTGCCTCCCCTTGAAAATTCATCTTGTTGCACGGTGTGAAATCTTAACTAAACCCTTACAAAAAAAAAGACTGTATGAATTCATTTTTAGACACCTCACGTTTTTCCCATGTGTATAAAAAAATTTTACTTTTTTTAAGAAAAGACAACTGCTAGTTTAAAACAACAGACGCCAGTTCTAAAGCTCATCTCCCTTCACCTCTGTAATGAAATAAATAGGCAAAGCATAATCATAGTAACTGGCAATTAATAAAGTTGCTGTAATAGGTCTGTCCTACGCCTGGGCAATGTGGTGACATAATTGGATAACATCAATGATTGACAAGTAACACGAAGACAATGATTAAAAGATGACATTCTGCATGTTGGGGAACTGACAGAGAACTAGAAAGGAATCTAAAGTTAAACAGCTTGCTAAATATTTGAAATTGGGGTTCATGTTCCTTTAAGAAGTGTGCAGGCGGGTGTTCAAAGAATCAGGTTTTTTCTGTTGACAAGAAATAACTTTGTTAAAAAGCTGCCTGTTCTCTCTGCTACACTCTGTAGTGCTAGTTTTACCTACCCATGGCTTGTCCTCTTCTATTTACTTTACCTTAGGTTTAGCTTGAGTTCATGGAACTGAATGAAAATAAATGATGATGTGCTATAGAACTTCAACTTGCTTTACTGTGACTCTCTGCAGTAAAATAACCAAGCAAAAGTGACTGGGTTTTAACCTAGAGCAGCTAAGTTAATTCTAGCCCTGGAACTTTTAGAAGTAGAGAAAGTTCCTCTGATCCCCTTTTATGATCAAGAAAGCAGGATCAGTAAAAGGTACCAAATAATATTAAATAACATGTACACAATGTTTAATTCACTTTTATTGTTGAAATATTGGGCTATTATGGGGCCTTTAAAAAGCCATTAGGCAGCAGTACTGTAAATTCCCCACTCTTTCTGCTGTGGATTTCCCAGACTATCATTTATCATCTGAGAAATATTTACAGCATTCTCTGTACAGCTTAAGCGTCTCAGTGGTTAGTTACATTTTGAAAATTCTGAAAATGAATGAATAATTTATTTCCAAAGGCATCTATAGCTGAATTACAGTGACACTCTGCTATAACGACAGAAATGTCTTGTGTTTTTATATATGTAAAGCATGGCTTTCTAAATGACTTATTTATTTCATTTTTTTCTTTACAAAGTGAGCATATTAGGCCTGTTTAATTGGATTTAGTGCAGTACAGTTTGTGAAACTTTGAATAAAAATGATTGTAGTTGTATTGTCATTGTTGGTCAAATTGTGGCTCAAGTGACTCAAGTCTGACTTCAGTCCAAGTCATGTAACTCGAGATCCCACCTCTATCACACACACACACACACACACACACACACACACACACACACACTGAGCACAGTATGAATGTTTAGAGACCACTCAATAGATGGATAGCTTATTCATAAGTGTGCCCCAAGATTCCTCTAAAACAGCATTTTTATGTTTATTGGTTGGCAGTTGGTGTTCAATATTGCAAAACCTCACTGCTGGTCCCTGTCCCTCGAGGACACGCCTACAGCAGTCACATGGATAGAGACATAGTGTGTGTGTGTGTTTATTTCTGCCTCATATCTGAGCATAGATATGGGCCCATGCTTATGTTCACACATGCATAAGGACGCAGAACGTTATGTAAGCTTGCCCTAGTTGTGCGTGCGCGTGTATGTGTGTGCATATGTGGAAAGAGCGGGGTGGGGTGTTCATGCATGATGATGAAATGGATTACATAATTATGTCCTAGTTGTCTTTCCTAGTGTATATGTGTGAGCAAGAGATGAAGATTGGAGGAAGAAGAAAGAGCAAGTGAGAGAGAGAGATATAGAGAGGCATAGAGTGTAATGGTGGCAGGGTGAATGCATTTGGCAGCATTCAGAAATGTCTGTCTGGCTTGCAGTTTGGATGCCCTTACTTCACACATACTGTCAGCATGGACATGTCTCCGACCTTAAGACACAAATCAAATAAAGTCTAATTTTAGGCTAAGGGTTGGGCTATAATTGTATCCAATATTTATCAATATTTTATCATGTTCACGTTTTCTTGCCAATAACAAACTTTAATATCATTATCATTTATGCGCATCTGTAATGCAGCCATCACTGATCGAAACTCTCCTGGCTCAAAGTCCCTCCAACTGCCTTACTGGATTGGTCTGGACAAGTCATACTTATTCCGACAAGTCCAGTAAGGCTGTGGATTGGTTGATACATGGACCACGTGTTGAGCGAAAGCAAAATCTCTGCCTGCTAAACTATGTTTGCGATTGTTTCTATGCTTGACTGTGGGGCACTATTTATTTAAATGAATCGTTTTATTTTGTATCATTTTAAAGAGATATATTCAAAAGTTTATTTTTTTACCATTTTAAAGTTTTAAACTTTTAATATGTACTATTAAATATACACATGCTTTCCAAATATATACAGTCTTTAAACTCCATGTACTTTATTTTTATAATGTACAAATGTTTATTGTAATTATTTCAACAAACATTACGCTCACATGATGCTCACTTTGTGTGGGAACTGTGTTCCTATACATTTTTACACTATATAAATTGTTTGCAAATGAATATTGGTAAATAAATCTGTCTCCTCATCTACCAATAATCCATATCAATATCAGCCCAGAAAATCACATCTGTTGCCCTCTATTTCAAATGTAAGTTGTTCCTTACCACACATGATTTTAAAAATTAGCGAACAGTTGACTGATCTATGCAACTGTCATGAGGTTGGACAAGCTTTATGGAACATTGGCCAAAATCCTATTCAAAAACAGCACAAAAGGCTTTATCATATCATACCTACATTTAAAGTTTACTTTACATTTAAAGTAAAGTATTTAGAATTATATTGTGCTACATAAGCCTTTTTATGCAGATCTCCTCGTGGCCTGGTGATTGATTCTGAAGTTCTGATGTACGTTAACAATTTTATAGGGTTTACACCTGGACAGCTGGGTGTTAATGTTTAACGGGTGATTGAGTTCAGGCTTGGATAACTTGAGTTAACTGTGTTGAATGCTAGTGCATTCTAAAAGTGTCTTTTCACTGAGCAGTATGGTACAATACAATGCAGTTACTAATAAGAACCCAGAACTGTACCTACCCTGGTCCAGTGTCCATTTCCATGGAATCACAGTACCCTTGAAAACAGGCAAGGTTCTCTTGAGGTTGGTGGTCACATGATTTCTCACACAGTGTTAGAGTTAATAGTGAACACAGACAATAGTAGCAACAATTGAGGATCATCAACTTCTGATCGTCTTATTTTTATGAGAAGAGTCAAAGACAGTGATTCTGGCTAGCTAGTTTTTAGAAAGGTCCTACTCGACTGATGGTACGTGACGATTTTGTGATGACTGCATTTATCCAATCAGTGCATTTATCCAGTCAGGTAAGATTGGGAATCTGTGAGCTGCACTGTTTGTAGCTTCTCTGATACACCCCAGTTCGCAGTGGAAATGAAGACAGCCATACTTTGCCGTGCCCAAAGGAAAAACACCTCCTTAATGACCACATGTGTAGCTTATTTTACACAAAATGTTCAGTAAACTTGTAATGTGTGTCATAAGAAACAAATAGTGTTTAGAGTTTAAGTAGATCATGAAATAATTTTGGATATTTGGTGCATAGAATCAATTTTATTGCCTAAGTGATTTGAGGAAAAATCCTCAGCCACTGCACATACAAATTCATAACTCGGTGCACAAATGAGTGACAGCATGTAGTTGATAATTGTCAGCGCAGGCTGTTAAATGCTGGTGAAGAGCTGCCGGAGTGCATCTTTGAAGGGCGTCGACTCACTGCACACTGCGGAGAGCTTTAATCCTGTAATTGCTCATTAAAAATCAGGTCAGATTGGGAGATAATTTCATGCAAGCTTTGTTGCTTGATGATGCAAGTGGGGAAATAAAAATAAATAAATAAATAGCATAGGGCTTGCAGCTCTATCTCAAAAACAGTTGTTGACTTAACCATTTGATTGTGTTAAATTTAAAGAAATAATTTAGTATTTGTTAACCTTGCCTCCATCTACTGCATATGTATTGTATGGTCAGTTATTTTGACCCATTTCTCTGTACTCAGAAAAGAACAGAAACTCATTTATATGAAGTTCTGTTTAATGCATTGTTTAAAAAAAAAGAAGGATATAAAGAAGGAAATGAAGTAATAGAAGCCTAGATTATTTAAAACGAAAACACATGTAGGTCTATGTACTGGTAAAAGCACTAGCAATAAAAAGGGTCTTGTGTAGAGCACCACAAGTCTGGACATGCCCATATAAAACTAGATTTATATCATACATTATGGATCAGTGTTATTTTAACCTTTCAATAATCTGTGAAATTGTCTCTCCTCTTTCTTTTTTCTCTCTCACTCTCCTCTCTCTGCAGTGCAAAACATTGTCTGGAATATGTGACCACATCATCTCACTGTCCTCTGACTCGCTAGTGTCCCAGTCAGCTCACTTGGAGGTGGTGCACCTGACCAACATTATGCCCAGCGAAGGCCTGGTACGTCAGAATTAATACTAATCACACTTAATCTCAGATGTTCCACATGCGGCTTAAATCTCTGTTTACTTTTTACACTTAAAACTCATAACATTAAAAGCTTAAACAATACTAGGAATGTTTTGACATTACCATTTTCCACATTTAGAGTAATAGTGACGACATCAAAACTAAGAAATAATAAATTTAGAGGTATGCAGTGACTAAAGTCTTTATTTCACATTCTTCAAAGCATCCCCCTCCTTTCACCCATAAACCAGAATATACACTACCTCCTTTATTGCTGGGCAGTTTCTGAGAACCAACCCTGTTGACCAGATATCATTGTGTTGTTGGGCTATTCTTAACACAGCAGTGACATGGTAGTGGTATGGTAGCGGTGGCACAAGTGTGTCAGGTACAGAAGTGTGTGTGAATATATCAATGGCTGTGTAATAGTGATAAAATGAAAATGCATAAAAAGCAGCTAGTTTTAGACTTTTTGTGATAAAAATGCTTTATGACATAATATCATTTCCTGCAAAAAAATGCTTTTTTGACCAAATAACTTTTGGTTTATTGATAAAAATAAGTTGTGTTTGTGTTTCATGAAAGAGAAATGTGAGATAATTCTATCACACGACAATAAATTTATGCATAAATGCATTCTTGTTTCTATTTGGATTTTCACAATTTTTTTTAAATACAAAAAAGCTTTGTCAACATTCATAAATTATGTCTGGCAAAATCCATATCCATAACCTACATCGACAAACTTTTGGAAGTGTTACAACATTTTTCACAAAAAATCCATATCTAGTGTCAATGCTAAGTTTAGACTGCTCCAACCCTTAAAAATATCCAGACAAGATCATCAGCAGGGTCAGAAACTGGCAACTGATGAACGCAGGGGTCACCAAATAGATTTGACTACTTACACACGTACACGTACACACAGACCTCTTAAGCACTTTAACAGACAGGCTCTGTACTGCTGGACACTCATTCATTCACCCACTCACTGACCTTTTTGCTCTGGTTGTTTGTGCCCCTGTTCACATTAAGCATGATTCATCATCATTTAAAAACAAAATTCTTGTTTTCCTATGATCTTCCTTCAAAGTGGAATGATTTTGCCATCTCCACACCATCTTCTGATTCTTGACTACAGCACCAGCAGGTGGGAAAAGTAATATTAACCAATATCATGTTTCACCTTCCTCTTTCACCGCCCTCTCCCTACCAAGAGAAATTTTTTAGCTAGCTCAGAGATGCTCCCTGATTCCATGTTTTACTCAGAAATACAATTAACAGAAGGAAAACAAATTATGATTTCCACTTCATACTGACATGAACAGTTAGTCAGTTCAAGCGGTTCTAAAGGCCTGTGTTGCACTGATTTCATCCTGGTGTTTATAAAAAACAATTCAAACATGCAGGCACAGACATTGAAAATAATATTTTTAGAAGTGACGCAGCTCATGGACCTCACTTATAACTCCAACACTAACTCACCCTCTCCTGTTTAGCAGGCTGAAAATAGCACTAAAGTAGCTTTTGTGTGCAGCATTGAAAGGGAAGAAACTGGCATGAACCAAAGTCTTTCTAAACCCACACCAATGCTAGACTAAAGAATTTACAGATTTCACAGGATGTGACATTTAAAAGAGAAAAACAACATTACTTGAATGTCTTTTTCAGGCCATTAATGTCTGTGTCTGAAGTAGAGCTGTCATAAGCATGGAAAAGTAAATATATTTTCATTTAGAAAATACAGAATCGGCCAACCTTTCTGCAGCAGGTACGCATTTTCATGCCAAAGTACGCTGATATTTGTCACGCTGAACTATGCAAAAATCTGGTGACGCTTTTGAGTTCAATAGTGTATGTGCAGTATTCAAATCTAATAGCAAGAGGCATCAGCGTCTAGCCTTCCAGAAAACAAAGGAAGAGTTTGACCAATCATAGCACTGGGTTCAAACCGATAGTAACACAAAATGTTTTTATCTCTCTCGTTGCCTCTCCTCATTTCGTCTTACTGGTTTCACAAGGGAGGACAGTGTTTTAACTTTTTTGCGAAGGCAAACGGGCTGGAGAGAATGTTGACAGTTGAAATTGTGAATTGAGTTAACTTAAAGCAGATCTGCCAACCTTGGAAAAAGATTTAACGTTAATAACATTAGCCTGATGTTACATAATTTGCAAGCTAACTTGCTTTTTCACCAGGCATTTAAGTTGGCAAAGCAATGTTATGTTGTCTGTGTGTTGCAGATTGTTAAATGTGACTTTTCACAGTACTGTATTCGTACTATTATTGCAGCCAAAAAACATAATTATAATGGGCAGATCGTGGCAGGATGTAAAAACTAAATAACATTACCTTGAAAGTTACATGTATGCTTCACAATACACAATTATACTACTATTAATGTAACATCAGAAATCCCCTAGATATGGTAGTCACTTTCTATTAAATATCTTAGAACGTCCCCTATATGTAGTAATACATTTCAGTAGGTTTCAGTGGTATGACAGTTCCCAGTGCTTAATTTTAATAGAACAGAAAATATGTGTTGGGGGACAGCTTGAGGCCAGTTGAAACTTGCTCACAGGCTGGATTTAGCCCACTGGCTGCTAACTGATGGGCCCAGGGCTAGAAGATGGCTTTCTCAAATTGTGCCTCAACAGATGCCAACTGTCTGTATCCATTGCTTTGTTTTTTTGTATTGTGCACCTTTTTTGTATTTTGTGTAACACCACTTTCATCCTCTCTCCCTGGCCAACGCTATCACCATCTCCAGGGCATGTACATCAAGTCGACATACGACGGGCTTCACGTGATCACAGGCACCACGGAAAACGTAAGTGACTGCGTCCCGAATGGTGGGAAAGAAGGGGGGGGGCGCTAGCTGCTGACAGTGGCACTCAGAAGGGAAGCTCATGAAAGATTAAGAGCAGCCCTCACAACGACATGTGAGAAAACAACACATGCGGGGCCGAGGGCAAGGCAGCACTTCTCAGACACTTCCGCCAAGCTTCCCTCTTCTATCGCTGCCAAGCTGCCTCCTCTTGTTTGCACAGACAGAAGGTTTCATGTGTGCCCTTGTTTTCTGGGTGGGGTAATCTCAGCTTTCATTAAAGCTTCATTATGATTAGCTGTACTTCAGACCCATGTCAGTTGAGGAAGAGAAAAATATGGGGGCTTTTGATTAAGTTTTTGACCTGTCCCAAAGTCCACACTTGCCAGTTGTGTTTTTTTTTTTGTTTGTTTCACTAACGTGACATATTTCTGAATTTATAAAAAGTGAACAAGTTAGATGTTAGATCGTTGGCTATGTATCGTATCTTTGTGGGATGACTGCTGACTTTCTTACAATGTTAATATTATTCCCTGCATTACGTCACCAACATGTTGAACTGTGAGATATATAGTCATATGCAAAGGTTTGAATGTCCCTGGTCAAATTACATGTTTCATTCATTTTCTAAGTAAAAATAACTAAACATCCTATACAGGGAACCAACTACAATATTACATTTTTCTCCAAATTTTAGTGCATAATTTAACATTGATTTCACATTTTATTTATTTATTTTGCTAATGTGTTCTATGTATAGGATGTGCACTTATTTTCATTTATTTTCATGAAAATTAACAAAAAAAATGTAATTTGACCAAGAGTGCCCAAACTTTTGCATATGACTGTATAATTAGCCCTATACTACTTTGATGCTGTATGTCGGAAAGGATGCGTTAAGTGTGCATTTATTGTGCTATTCTTTACACTGTACTTTTGTATTTTTTAGTAATGGGGAACATTTGAACAGCACCGTAATTCCAGCCTTTTATTATGATTATTATGACATGCAGGATATATATATATCACTGCTGTCTGAACAAAACCTTATATCTCCATTTTTGGCGTTTTCCAGTTTTTGACATGAGTTGAAAATGTCTGTTGCCCTTTACATTGTGTCTAAATTTCATGTTGAATGGAACCAAAGAAACAGCCCAAAGTGACTTGGGCAAAAGTCTGGTTCCATTGACTTACATTAAAAATAAAGTAGGTTTTTCCTTCTCCTGTAAAGTTACTATGTTGGAGATACAAGGTTTTCTTCCGACAACAGCGCTACATAAAACCTGAATGTGATAATAATATATATATATATATATATATATATATATATATATATATATATATATATATATTGTTGTGAATACTTGACCTAAAATTACTAATCATGATTGAAATGTAGTATTGGCCCCTTAGCACTATGGAAAATAACTGGAGCCTGTTAAGTGAGTGCCAAGACTTTAGAACTGAAAGCAGGTACCAACCAAAGCATAGATACCAGACATGGTAGGACCTATGGTAGGACTGCTGGGACCTTCTTAGGGCAGTCGTGGGCTGGAGGTTAGGGAACCAGCCTTGTGACTGGAAGGTCACCAGTTTGATCCCCTCAGCTGACAGTAGGTGACTGAAGTGCCCTTGAGCAAGGCACCCAACCCCCAACTGCTCCCTGGGCACCGTGGATAGGGCTGCCCACTGCTCCGGGCAAGTGTGCTCTCTGCCCCCTAGTGTGTTGTGTTCACTAGTGTGTATGTGGTGTTTCACTGCACGGATGGGTTAAATGCGGAGGTCTAATTCCAATGTGTTCAGACACAGTTGGCTAAAAAGGTTCATTTCATTCAACTTTCAATCAGATGTAATGGTCTTTATTAAGGTGTAATATTTAACTTCATGCCCATGTAAGTTTAGGAAGAGGCAATGGGCAGACTGTTGATTGGTACTTGATTTTTTGAATCCTCGAATAAGGTGAATTGGTGTCCTGTATACTTCAGATACTTCCAAACATTTTCAGCTTGTTTATGCTTTGCATCAAGTGTTTTGTGTCCAATTTGTATCTGCACATACTTTGGCTGTATTCCATTTGCACCTTTCTCTAAAATGTGTCCTCAGTTTACCAGATGAGATCCAATTTTGCTTCCCCTTTGAAAAAAGCACATCAACACATGGATTTCCATTTTACTTTTGTAGCTTGGCAGACGCATTTCTGCTCTTGTTTTTACATGGATAACAAAACATTTAGTGTTTGAGTAATCCAGTTGTAATCCAATCACAATGCATTGTGGTATGTTTATAGCTGGCTTTTCTTGTGGCATATTAATGCAAAGTATAAACAGGCCCTTTATAACTACCACCAGTTTGGGAATGAAGTTCAACCTAAAAACATACATCATATAGTACCAAAGCAATATAACTGGTTTTATTCAACTTAAAGGGATTTAATGAAACAGCGCAAAGCACACTTTTAGTTTAGATGAGCAAGAGCAATATTTTTCATCAATCTAAATCTCAAAAACACTGATTAAACTGTAGAATCTAGGCAAGCCACAGTATGCAGTCCTTGCCAGTGTGGATTACAGCTCAAAATGCCAGGTTAAACAAGGATCTATGCATGTTGTGAAACAGATATTACCCTGTTTTGAGTCCAGTGGCTTTACTGCTTCTTCCTCAAGGCTATCCAAGTAGACGCTGATGTCAAGTCTATTTCTGGGCTCGTCAGAGAGAATCTTGCCTTTAGCCAGTTCTCTGATATAGGCCTTAGTGACCACATCAGTGAACCCTGATTGCGCCATAGACTGAGGTCACACTGCATCACCACATGATCGGCTGGCCCTCCGTGGTCCGGTTTGGCACGTGTCCTCAGTGGTTAGCTCACTGACCATTTCCCCCCTGCATTCCGCTTCCATTAATAAACCCACATGAGCCAGATGGGGTCTGCCAGGGACAGGTGCTGCTGCACATCCATGGCTGGCTGGCACACAGCGGGCACTGCCAGGGAAGAGTTCCAGTCCTGCGATGGTGGTGCTGCTGCCAGGGAAGTGTGCAAGTCTTTCATGGGTATTATAATGGGCCTGGTGGGTGGGTGGGTAAGCGTGTGTGTATAAAGCCTGATGGCATCACTTGTGAGAGGAGACTGCAATAGAGTGCCTGGCACCCTTGCTGATACTGCCAAAGCTGTCTCTTCAGGCCGACAGTTTAATCGCCCCAGCGAGGCTGGTGTGAGGAGATTAGTGTAAATGCACACTGGTTACCTTTTAATGGAGGGGCAGGGCTGTAATAGGGAGGACGCTATTGGGAAGCAGTGAATGGGGACACATTTGAAATGAACCATGAATTTGCCAGGGAACGTCTTGCAAGATGCACAATGCAGCTGAAAGACTGTTTCTTTAAAGGAATCATTCATTAAAGAGCATTAATCACGACTAAAAACTAGCATAGCCTGATTAGCATTAAGAAAATGAGTTCATGCCTAATGTTCCCATCTAAGCAAATGCAAAATTCAAAAGAAATGAAAAATCAGATTTACACAGTTTTCCACTTACCCAAAAAGTAGCCGATCAGCCAAGACATGTTTGATGTTTAAATTTTGCTTCTTTAGTTTAGTGCCAGAGGTACAAGGCTAACAAACACTAGAAGTCAATAGATGCCAATCTTTTCCAATAATTTATGCCCCAAAACTTCTCTTATACTGCTCAGACCACAACCAGCTCTTCAGTAAGGTTGTGCATACTTGTCAGTGTGGTTTAGGGGGCAGTATGACTTACCATGAACCATAAAAATTAACAAAAAAATCATTTTACATGTACAAATTTACATGATTTTCATTTTATGCCAAATGTAGTTGCTCAGAAAAAACATGTCTGGTGTCTAAGTTGGGGCTGCTAGGGCTAATGGTGCAAATAAACTCTAAGTCAATAATCACCCAAACCGTCTCCACAAATACATGCCAAAAACTTCATATATTTGCTTCAAATTACATCGATACGCTACTTAAACTTAATTAAAATATATAGTATAATGGCAACTATTACGATTTTGTAAAACTAAATATAACAAATATAAAATATATACAAAATAGAAGTACTATTTTGCCTTTGAACAATGGGAGGCTGGAGTACAGGGACGTGCTGTAAAACATTAATACACCAATGCATGGATGCATGATGTAGCAGAATGGGTTTTAGGTTCTTCTATTTAATGAATATTTTACCAAAAAGTAAAACTAGTAGGAGGAAATTAGAATTATGGAAATTAGCTCATGCTAACGGGTCCCAGCTAAGCAAGTGCCAGTCCAGATGCTATGTATGGTAAGCGGATACCAATGCACAGATAAGAATGCTGTGGGCAGGAATCTAGAAGAGGAAGATAGCCCATTGGCTGAATTTATAACCCTAGATTGATTGGCTGGCTAATTGAAGCTGAGTGAGTCGGCTGAGTGCGATAGAGCGATTCCATCTAAACAGCTTGCGTCTCCATCCTCCCCGAGGCAGAACGTCCGCCATCAACCCCTCGCTGCTCCTTGCAGCTGAGGCACTGCCTCCTGTTGCTACGCAACCCTGTGGTTACCTGGGAGACAAAGCCCAGTGTTCTGGAGTGAAGGGGAGTGAGAGGCACTCAAGAGTTTCACAAGTGGACCACCTCACTGAAGCGCATGTCGATTTCACATTCACTCTATGGAATCCATTTTTTTTTACATTAGAGGTGCAAAAATTATATATATATATATATACACACACACATTAGGGGTGCGGGAAAAACTCGATTCTTAGATGCATCGCGATGCGGACGTGAACGATTCTGAATCGATTCATTCAACGTCAAAAATCGATTTTCTAAATATTTAATTTATAACGTAATGTTGACGGAACGCAAAAGGCTGAACTGGAACTGGGAAAGTGCAGCGCCCGGACAGTCTGTGGCGGCACATAACAAAAGCACTACTGGAGGAGCGAGAAATCCGACCAGCTCCCTCTGCATTAAAGCCAGGTTAGGTCAGGAGTCACAACACGAATGATAAGAAGAGCCATTTTGCCTTTCAACGAAGTCAAACCACCTTGGGAGCCACAACATTTAATGTCCAGTATGTCTCAGTATGTGATAATGTCCTAGTATGGGCTAAAAATATAAACGAGAGCGCAGATTTACTTCGCTCTGCTTTAAGCTTTAGCTTTAGCCGCTTTGCTCCCATCTCCGCCAGAAAACTTTTCTTCAAAACTAGAAGAGTTTCTTGTAAAATGTCTCAGCATCCGGCTGTTTTACGAGGCTGAAGTCGCTTCTCATTCGCCAGCTTCTCGTTCTAATTTTCCCGTTCCACCTTAAATTCTGCCTTAGGCGCCGAATGTAACTGCTGCACCATTTAAGGTGGAGCGGGAAAATACGAAAGAGAAGCGAGTTCATTTTCGCAACTTTTTAGAGAAAGACAGTCTCTCAGCAGATTTAACCAACCGCGCTGCTTATAAATGCGAATAAGTCCTCCAAATGTTCGTCTTAATCTGTTTTTTTCGTTCGCTACTGGCGAGGCCAGACCTCGGTGCTATGTGAGCTGCTGTCTGCTGTCTGTTCTCAGTCGTTGAGAACCAGGGCTTTCGCGTTATGCTGCACACTTTGGAGCCGAGATTCAGCGTCCAGTCTAGAAACCCTCCCTCTACAACGAGACCAAAAGGGTGGCTGTAACGTACTGCGTGGACACCCATTGCCACTGGATCTTATTTCAGGGCAACAGCGCATTTTATCGCACATGAGTGGCAGCAGCGTCTCTGAATGAGAGCCTTCTAGTTCACTTGCCACATCACTTCCATTTAATTGTTATTGATTTATTATTGATTTATTTATGATTATTGATTTATTTACATTATGGATCATTACACATACTTTGCTTTAAAACTACCAAGTCCTCAGACAGTAGGAAGATAGATATCATGTATAGAGAAAAAAGATGCATCGAGATGCATCGATAATCGTTTTATAATCGCATCACAGCCCTCTGAATCGTAATCGAACCGAATCGTGAGGTGCCTAAAGATTCCCACCCCTAATATATATATATATATATATATATATATATATATATATATATATATATATATATATATATCTAATAGCACTTCTCTTTTTATCAGAAATTATATTTGTCAATTACGGTCACAGTCTTCCTCATACTGACTAGAAATACTGACTAGTTTTATGGCAAATAATGAACATGATAGAAAATCATGTGGTTATTGAGGATTTTTTATTTTTTTTAACTGCTGCATCTGTAGCATACAGTCAGTTACTACACAATTTCAAAATGTTTCCTTGTAATTTTTTTGTGCAAATTATTCAGTTAAAGATCAGTTTTGTAAATTAAGCTGTATAATTAATTGCAAAGATGTGGCTAGTTGCTTAGCTGGTAGTGTTTGTGGTACATTACCTACATAATGGTGTGAGTGGAGTTTTCTCAGGCTCAGGGTGAAATTCCTTTTTTTAACTGTGTTGCTCCAAAGTTGGATAAAACTTGAAAAGAACAGTTTTGTTAGACATCTCCATTGCTAGAGTATAATGACTGAAGCTTAAATTCACGTATATTCATGTATTTTAAGCATAATGCATGGAATTCAGCAACTGCCTAATAGCATTACTTAACAGCTACTGTTGTACTGCCCATTGTAATCAACAGTACAGTAGAAATGCAGCAGTTCAAGATTAGGCTACAAAAACATTGGAATGCTATGTGTGGATCAGGGTTATTATTGTTCAAATTATTACAAAATACTCGTTAACAAACAAAAGAAAAACAGAAAAATAAATAAATAAAATGCCTATTGCAAAATTGAACAGTATCACAGAAAAAACACTTTCCCAGGATATGGATATTTCTTTGAGTAAAGCTTGCAACCAAGCTGAGCATAGTCTACTGTTGCATTGCCAAAATGGCACAACTCATCAGATGGAGTTCAATTTGGAAAAAAAATAAATAAAAGTAAGAACTAGTGAAATTTTCAAAAAATAATACCAATGTTTCAAAGTATACAGTTCAATTCATAAGTAATGGGACATGCTCCATATTTGCTTTTTTGCTGCGGTCAGCTCTGCGCTACAAGCGTAGCAGTACAGAATCCATCTTTGAACTCCTTTCCCACTAGGACTCTCTGCCAGTTCAGAGTATGTGTACTGGGAGTACTAAACATGACTGGCTCAGAATAAGCAGAAAGGAAATCAACACATGTTTTCCCTAATCTGGCCTCCCTCGCTATTTCCCTCTAGTCCCCTGCTGACCAGTGCAAAAAGATCCACGCTGGCGACGAGGTCATCCAGGTCAATCACCAGACTGTGGTGAGTATGACTGTTTGCCCTCTTTCTCTGTCTTTCTCTCTCTCTCTCTCTCTCTCTCTCTCTCTCACACACACACACACACACGCACACACACACACACACACTTCAGCACATACTGGACATTTGATTCCTTAGTTAGACTTTACACAGTCTTTACAAAAATGTATTTGCTTATAACCTACATAAAACTAAATTGCACTTAAGTTGCATAATGTAAATGCATCCTACACTTCATTTGAAGTGGTTGCAAGCTTCTCAGCTTCATGGAACAAATTTCAGGAAACAGCCAATCAAAATGCAGATAACATGTCATGTGATCAAGTCAAATGGCATATTATCAAATAACAAGAAAACAGAAGCTGGTTTACTGAGCAGTTGAAAAAGAGTGCCCCCCCCCCAACTGACTTTATATAAGGTCAGTAGTTTTTTATTTTGTCACTTTCCTGAGCAGTGTAAACAAATATGAAATTCTCAAAGCTAATGTTTCTGTAACAAGGTGGTCCAGCTAGCCTGCAAATGCTTACAGTTGTTTAAACATGTTTATTATTGTTTATTCAGTGTTTTTTCCTCTTTGTTAGCCTGCTGTTATTGTGATATATGTAGCTAAATTCATTTGCTCCTATCTTTCCCTAATTTTAGACAGTGCTCAGATTCAAATGTGTTCCATATGATGAAATTTTTAAAAGAAGAGAAGAATGAGATGCACTCCTCGATGAACTTGTAGTGCTTCTGGGACAGGAAGAGTGACAAGTACATTCATTTTTAATGGCTTAACATACATAAAACAGATAAACAAGTGAAATACATAGTAAAGAACCCTAGATAGATAAAAGACAGACATACAGAAGGAAGACCAACAATGGCAGCTGAAAACAATAAACCAAGACCATAAAATTGCTGCAAATGAGTAAAAAGCATCTCACGGATGACTTCATGTAGTGAGAACTATGTGGTGTGTCAAAAAATTATGAGTTTTGCAATGTTGCAATTTACAGGACTCCAGATACAGTACATCAAAACAGGATGGTTAGCATAAATTTAAATGTGTTTTGTTGTTACATTCGCCATCTCTCTTTGGAAAGAAATGGTTTTGGATGGTTACAGATCACGCTACTCTGCAGTTCTTTATCCTTGGCATGAGAGCATTAGTACTCATCTGTTGTATCATTATGTTAATTTTTCTTTGGTTTGCTTTTGTAACCAGCACAGCTTAGCACAAGGCCAGTTATATTGATTTCACCTGAAAATGTACCCACTTCAAGCACAGGCTTGTTAGATGAGTCCAAAATCATTTAAATGCAAATTTCTCTTTAAATGGTTTAATTTTATCCTTGAATTAGTTGTTGTTGTTTACATTTCTTTAGCTGGTAAACACACGCCGACTATCACTAAAGAACAGGGGCCACAGATGCATCCATATTCATAAAGCCCATCACCTTTGACAATTAGTACTGCCCTAAATGCATGATGATATTGTGCATTTTTTTACAAGTCTGGCATGTTAGCATTTTGGTGCTGCTTGGCTGTCTTGTTGAGGGAGGCATGGGGCGTAAAGCAGGAAGTTTCAGCACCGTGGAGCATAGATGATTGATGTCCGTGTAGTACCTTTGGGGTAAGGTGAGGGAGGGATGACAGAACATCATCTCATGGCACTAGAGCTACTTCATCTTCAAACCCACTATTAGGCTATTATCACTGTTGTGGAGCGTCTCTACTCATTCTCGCAGGGGAGCAGAGTCTAGGGTTTCACAGCACTGTTCCTTTGATCGCTTCAGTTCAAACCTTTTTTCACACTTTAGTAAGACCACCAACTGCTACCAAATCATAATTTTATCCATTATGAGAAAAATGGCCAAGTGGAATTTTTTTAGTGGGAAATTGACATCTTCAAATGGTATTGCTACCCATTTGAGATCAAATTAGCAAAACTTCATAAACCATGTGAGGAAAATCCATAGGCTTTACTCGAGGGGCACTAAGCAGTCCTGCACATGTACAAAAATAGGGCTGTCACAGATATTCATTTAAACTTATTTTAAACTACTGCAATAAACATTAAGCTTAAACTTGGATTAAATCAAGGTTTATCTGTATTCCAGTTCCACAAAATTTAGTTTAAAAATAATCAGGAATACATTTTAACCATCCTTTTAACTTTAATTTTAATAGTACAATAAATCTAGATTAAATTTAATCCTGTTGCTCCATACCTTAAACTCAGATTTAAGATTTGTCTAGGGAATAACTTCCAGATGATTTGGTTTAAATTTACAAAATGTGCTAAGGCATTCTCTCTCCCTCTCCAAGCAAAACAAAAGGGGGATAAACATACCACATACATTAGTGAAACAAGGGAGTCACTGAAATGAGGGAAACCACGTATGTTTGGAGTTACAGATTACTTATACATGAAGCAAAAGGCCAAAGACATACTAAATATACCCTAAGTAAAAAAGCAGTTTTGTTTCTCTAGGCCAAAGTTGACAAGCTAGCAGGATACTCCAATAATATTCAGGGTTTAGCTTAGGTTTGAGCATTAGTGTAAAACTGCAACACACTGAGAAAAAAATTATTTCTTGATTGTCTTACAAGTTTAACATGTTTGAACTTTTATATGTAGTATTAGACCCAGTGTGGGTAACTCAGTGTAAACCACGATTAGCTTAATGTCCCCATAGAGAAGTTATCACAAATTAGCATTACTGTACCGATGGAAACAGGAAAAAGAGGCTACTTATAGATATAAGTTAGGATTTCTGTATTAAACATAATTGGTGCATGTTCATGAATTTAAAAATATTCTCAAATGAACATTAGTAGTTAAAATATTTTAATTCAAATTACCAACAGATTTTGTGTGCAATTTCTGCAGTCATCTAATACAGGTAGACTGTTTGCTATTTTTGATGCAGCCCCAATGCTAGTTTTTTACCCAACAGGAAAGAAAAAGTATGGATAATGATAAGTGTTGTGAGTAACTTTGTTGCTGTTTATTTATACTGCTGAATCCATCATGGCGTACAATCAAAATTAACAGAAGATTTTAATCGCAGATTAAGGCTTTTTAAGGCTTTGTTAATCCATGTTAAAACGAAGTGGCACAACTTTACTTGATGTGAAAAAAATCTAGGTTGTCAAATCAGCTCTTACCTCAGTTTAACTTTGCTCTTGTTGGTGTAACCTATAAATTAATATTTACCTTCTTGAAGAATCGGCAATGGTTTGTTAGCAGTTTGAATCATGATAAAGCATCATTTCTTAAAGTTTATAGTTTATCTGATAAAATTTTGTAGAGCTTATTTTTATTGTTTGGCCTTAAAATATGAATTTAAAAATAATCAGTAGATAACATACCTGGCTCTAATATTCAAATTCTCCTGAAGACTTTGATAGGCTATGTTAAATTAAGGTTAGAACTAAACTCTGCAGGAGGATCTCTCCCTGCCCCATCCATTTCATTTACACAGTGCATGCTGGCTTAGCAATCTTGTCAAAATAAATTATGAATACAGTAAACTGTGTGATGGCTTTAAAAAAGAGATGCAGTTCACTGTGTTTTAGCAAACTTGTATGCCTGCATGCACACACACACACACACACACACAAACACACACACACACAAAAATATGTATGTACAATGCGCTCATGCATAAAAAAGCTGCTATAAAGCAGGCCCTGTGGATTTTTTTACTTTGTTGTTGCTTGTTAATTAAACAGCAATTTGTTGGGTCTGTCTCTCTCTCCAGCACATGTTATCCTGATTTAGATTTTAGATATTACTTTATACTGCCTGAAATATAAGGGTGATTTCATAATTGGGATGCCATTTAGCCCTTGTAACTCTTAAAAAATAGTATGTTTTTGTCATTTTTCAGTATGGAACCTAAGAAAACATGCATTTAACAATTTAAACCAGTGCCCCCCAAGCTTCCGCCTATAGATCTACCTTTCTGAAGGTTTCACTTCGAAACCAAATATAACATAATTCACTTAGCTAAATGAAGACTTCTGAAGTAAGGAATTAGATGAATCAGATGGGGTTGATTGGAGTTGCAGCTAAAGTCTGCAGGAATGTAGATCTCCAGGAGCAGGGCTGGTGACCACTGATATAAAACAGTGGTGACAATGCCTTAAATGAGCAACAGGGTTAAAACTAAAAGGCTATAGTTTTAAGCCTAGAATAAAAAAATACGCAAAATGTGGTTAACAAGCATTTATGCTAATAGCATGATGACATTGAGGACAACCTAATGATTCATTTGAAATTATATTTTAGATGAATAATTTGCTTTTAATGTATTGGTAACTGGGTTTTTTTAGACGAATAACTTACTTTCAATCTATAATTTAGGTAACAGGGTTGAATTTTCAAAGCGACCTTGCCAATATCTCAGCATCATTGAGAATGAAAAAAAAGAATTTTCTTTTTGACCTCCCACGATCTTCCAGAAATTCAGATGATGCAAATTCCTCTTGAACATGTGGCTTGTGAATATGTCAGATATTTTTATAGGGGTGAAATGTGAGTGTAAAAATGTAAAATGGGTGTAAAAGTATAACATTGTTCATATCCCATAATGGATGACCCATGAAATAGGATGCTTCAAGCATGAGATGTTAAATTGTTTCACAAATTAAACTAAACAAAAAACTTTTTTTAAAGTTTTTTTTACACAATTGTTTTAAAACACAGTGTTTTAAATGCTGTAATTAATGTTTTAGCTAACCTGCACATAGGTTGTTGTGAAAGACACGTACCTATGTTAAACCTTATATTTTTACTTTATATATGTATTACTAATGGCACTTTGTAGTACTTTGTGGTGTAGTACACTCTAGAAAAAAGAAAAATGAAAAAATGACAAGGTGTAAAACCTTCACAACAGTGATTAGCATCCTTCATAGAAGTGTCCCCTTCAATCTAAATCTGGCACACCATTCAGCTAATCAGTGACTAAAGGCAGTAATAGATGGATCAGGTGGAGGTGATTATGGTTGGGATAAAGTTTGCAGGAAAATAGATCTACAGAACAGGGGTGGAGCCAAGGGTCAACAAAGGGTGAACAGTGCCACCAATGCTTGAAGCTTGTCCACCCCTCACCAGCTTGAATTTTCTTTACAGTGGTGGTGATAGGGACCAGGGGTCATGATGACTACAGTGCAGTATAGCTATTTTATGTACTGACTAGTGAACCTATATGTCTTGTTAGTTTTTATATGTAATGTTGATAATGGTGAAGTAGTGATAAATCCAGAAAAAATACATTTTGCTTTGGGTACCACACCCTGCATGTACCTCTCTGTCATGAATGGTTGGATTGTAGGCCAAAAACCTATGTCAAGCCTATTGTCAAACAGTGGCTCAGGTATCGGGCAAAGTATTTGTAATCATTTCATATCTTTGTCATATCTTTGTCATGTCGTGTCTTTTTGTGATGTAGCTTTTAGAGCCACTAAATTTGTCAGTCATCTGGTTCTTTTTACCACTGTGACCAGTTCTGTCAATATGTTTCTCTAGAATGAAACATTTTACATAAAACAACCCGAATTACTTTGTTTACATGTGAACAATTGCATTATGGAGAAAACTTTAAAAATCAGTGCAATTCCCCTTTGAGTCCTAGATATAACCAAATTGATTTCAAAAGCATGTAGTTTTATAGTAATTATTTGTAATTTTAAGCTCACTGAAGGAAGCGGGGAGTCAAAAGTGCGTTTTCCATACTGCAGAGAAGATTATTTGTTTTATTATTATTATTTAAGGAAAGTTATTGTTGTGCGTATGGTGTTGTTTAGCGATACAAAATGTAAAACAAATATAACACTTTCAGTATCTAACTATGTAATTGTGCAAGTACATTTAAATAGTATAGCAAAACAACCATAACTTGACTTCTATGGGTTAAACTTCAAACGCTTTGGATGCACACAACCTCGTCCTCCTGTGAACAATTTTAAATGTAAATTCAAACATGAATAATTTCTTCAAATTCAGATTTGAACATCTGAATAGAATATATCATACATCATCATACATCATTACTGCTGAAGACCACTGAAAAATGCAACTGTGAATAACTAGCAGCAGTCATGCTGAAATTCAGACAGACTACTGTCCTCTGCCTGAACTCCAGAGCTCAGTGATCGGCCCTTTCTGACGCTTCATCACTTCCCCAATGCCAAGGTCAGAGCTGAGCAGTGACTGTCACGGCCTGGAGTCAAACAAAACCAGTTTACACACTCAATCCGCTGGTGACACCTCCCGCCTCCCATAGTCAAAGCGTCCCCTGCTGAAAAATGCAGACGCCAAACAATCTCTCTATTCTCCTCTCGTCCTCTTGCAAAAACGGTCCATCTCTGTGCCTGACATTACATCCAGCGATGCCCAGGCCTTGTAAAAAGTAGGTGCAAGGCCTTGTTAAAACTAGGTGGGGAATACATTACTGGATAATGAATGTGAAAATGTTATTGTCAGTCTACTATTGGAATTACAGTCAATAATTACAATGTTAGTTTAGCTGCCTATATAGGTATATACAGGTTATGCCCACACTGATGCATGTGTAGTCATTAAACCTGTCACGATCATAAAATTTTAGGTAACATTTAATTGCCATATAAATAATTGCGAATAAAATTATTGCAATTTTTTTTTTGAAAAACAATAGCTATTGATACTTACTAGCACCAAACTGATGACAGAACCAGCTCAAGCTCATATAAACACACATTACATAAATGTTTTTTAGTTTTTCTACAACTAATGGTGCATCTCAATAAATGTGTTTACTGATTCCTTTTGTTTTCATGCATTTTCCTCAAACCAACTGATGAAAATACATCCAGTTGTTTCTTGCAATGTAAAACATATGATTGTGAAAGCTAACAACTATGTAGATAAACCTGGACTTACGCTGCATGATTTTTAGCCTGATTTTAACCCTGATTTGTCCTTTCTGAAAGATTTTTCACAATCTAAAGCGATTTTCCAATCAAGAGCTCGATCAGTAGTGACTGGCAGTACGGATGGTCTGGTAGTGTAAGTGACATGTATGTCATGTGTGACATGTATGATGAAAAACTTAATTAGTTTTTAGTGATTCATGTGTTTTATGGTTTTAGAACAGATTTAGGCAGAAGCAGGCTTTGAAGCTTTGGATGTTAATATGTGTGTGCTCTCATTTGATGAAATGCACCTTTGTAGTCAGAATGACCTAGAAAGGCTCAAAGATGATGATACATCATAGGAACAGTTGGACTCTGTCAGTGCAGTCTTCTGTCTGACTGGGCATTGGTCTGGGATTTGAGCTGCCCCATCTGCCTCTTGTCATGTGTGACGTGCCTGGCTGAATTAGGTGAGGAAAATATTTCCCCATATGTGGCTGTCCTGACTAAGATACATCGTCTTATGGGTAGATATATATTTTTTTTTCAATTTGTGGCCATGGACATGTGAACAGTTTTTGAAGGGAAGAACTCTTTTCTAATAGTGTCACTTTGAAGTGTCTATTTTATTTCTTAGCTGGCTTCTATTAGATATTCAGAGCTTTAGACTGGTGCTGAGCTTTTACTGAATAAAGAGGTCTGACCAGTTCTTTTTAATCTGTAGAAGTGCTTTAATATGGCCTGAAGTTTTTGTTTGGATTTGGACCCAATTAGAGGTGGGGAGTAAAATTCTGTCTAAACCCAATCCAGATCTGACCACCACCAACGGGAGACCAAACTTCACATTTGTATACCTGTTAAGCCATCAATAGATCATGGATAAAATTTTAAAAATTAATAACCCAATTAATTAATTATAGCCCAGTTATAATTAAGTTTAACTTGCATTTTAACTAATGTATTCATTAATCAATGCCTTCAAACAACACCCAAAAATCATCCACATAAGCTAATGAATTTTATTCATGCTTTCTTTGTGGACTATGTTGACAACAGTGTGACTCCAAATTAAAAGTTGTTTAAAGTACTAAAAGCAAGCATAAATCAAAGAGAAAATCTAAAGCAGGACATGGGCTAAGAGAAAACTTAACAGGACATTAGAACCGGAACCAAGCCTAATTTCTAAACTTGACATGAATAGTTGGATCCCATAAGATCTGTCAAATATTTCAAGTTCCAATCTGTGGCACTGTGTCTGGGCTTCTTCAGGTGGGCTGGCAGCTGAAGAACTTGGTTAATGCATTACGTGAGGATCCCAACGGTGTCATTCTCACCCTGAAGAAAAGGCCACAAAACACCTTGACCTCTACCCCTGCTCTGCTCAAGAACGTGCGTTGGAAGCCTCTCGCCCTCCAGGTAACCATTCTCTCCTTCCTACAGCCTTGCTCCTGTTTATCCCAGTCAGTGCTTGCAATGGTTGTTGTTATGTTAAACCTTATAAACCACTACAGAGCCAGTCTAGCTGTAAGTCATCGAAAAATATCTTATTTTACCCTTGCAAATTAGGGAGTTTTGGAATAAAATGGATATTTTATGTTGTATTGAATGGATATATCAAGCTAAATTAATCAAAACATTTAGCCAGCTTTTTAACTGCTGTATTATCTCCTGGCTAACCACTGCTGCACACAAGTCACTCCACTGCCACCAACTATGCATGTTATCTACATTTTTTGCTATAGACCAGTGTCCATTGTTATACTCTCTTGAATATGTTATTTGTTGACTTTTGAGTCATAACTGGGTCATGCACATTTTGCAAGCTGACAAGAAATTATATGAGGTTACATGAACAAGTTTGCCACACCCACTAAGCAGGCCCATAGCACAGCTGAAAAAAGAGCAATTTAAAGTGAAAAAGAGGGATTATTTGAGCGTTACCAGCCAGAAGCCTATGAGTTCTGATAGAGGAAGTATAATTTTTTCCTGGGCAAATCTGCTTAGCAGTGTAAGATTTTTTTGCATAAACCAAAGAGCTCATTGTTTCACTGTGAAAGTGCGAGAGTGTTTTACAGGCATTGTACATTTGATCATGTCACCACAAATTTTATTTTTATAGATAAGGAAAGGATACAGGAAGGATACACCTCTGCAAATATGATCACATCTGAAAGAATATCATTAATCCAGACACAAATACACACGAACAGAAAGTGAACAGAATAAGTATACTGGAAAATGGAAGACATTGAAATGTTATAACGTTAGAAATGTATTGGTGTAATATAATAATGACTATAAACTACTACTGCGAAGAGTATGTGCAAACATCACAATAGTATGAACTGAAAGAAGCAGTATTGTGCAGCAGTCACTGAAGACGATATATAACAATATACAGTATAAATACACCCTCTACTAGGGTTGGGGCCCACATTTTATATATATATATATATATATATATATATATATATATATATATATATATTTTAGAGAGAGAGAGAGAGAGAGAAATATAGATAGATGTACAGGAAAGGGTGATGTTGGTAGGTCCATATGACTGGAAGGCCATAGCTCGGGGAGCCCTGGATTGCACGGCTGCTATTTTTAGAAATGCATTAGGCTAATTCATTTTCATGCAACATGCTTGCCTTGATGTCAGTGAGCTCCCTCTCTTGCTTCCCTCGTCCGCTCTCTCACTCACTTATTCCATTTCTTCCACTAAAAATCCATGAGTGTATGGATTATTAAATGCCCTTTGTTCATGGCATTTACAGTTCAATCTGTGCCTCTTCTTTTCTGAGACAATCCTTAGAGAGGCAAGCCAGCTGTGCAGTTTTGGCTTTTGGTATGATGGGTTTCATTGAAGGTAACCTATATTCTATAAATTCATCATATGATTGTCACATACACACATTTTTATATGTATGTAGTAGGTATGTGTGTGTGTGTGTGTGTGTGTGTGTGTGTGTGTGTGTGTGTGTGTGTGTGTGTTTGTAAATATATACAGCTCAGCCACAAAGCAGAAGACACTGAGTGGGGCCACAAGGTGCTGAAGCAAATATTGGATAAAAATCACCTATCCTTTGTTGCACACACAGTTCCAAATTGCCTCTGGAGGCAACATCAGCACAAGAACTGTACCTCGGGAGCCTGGGATGTTTTTGCGCAGTGCCAAGCGTGGTCTGGAGTGGTGTAAAGCACGTCGCCATTGGACTCTGGAGCAAAAGAAACATTGAAGTCTGATGGATGAATCTGGGTTTAGCAGATGCCAGGAGAACGCTGCCTATCAGGATGCATAGTGCCAACAATAAAGTTTGGTGGAGGAGGGACTGCTGGACAGTTTTTCAGAGTTTGAGTTTTAATTTCAGTGAAGGGTAATGTTAATGCTGCAGCACACAAAGACATTTTAGACAATTATATGCTGATATACAGTTTGGAGAAAGCCCTTTCCTGTTCCAATATGACTGTGCACCTGTGCACAAAGCAAACTCCATTAAGTTATTGTTTGACAAGCTCAGTGTGGAGGAACTCCAGTGGCCTCCAAACAGCCCTGATCTTAACCCTACTGAACACCTTCGGGATAATTTGGAATGTCAATTGCGAGCCAGGCCTTCTTGTCCAACATCAGTGCATGACCTAAATGGCCACAGATTCTCACAAACACACTCTAAAATGTTGTGGAAAGCCTTGCCAGATTCCCAGAGTGGAGGCTGTTAAAGCCACGAAAAGAGGGCCAATTACATATTAGTTCCCATGGCTTTGGAATGAAATGTCCAACAAGGTCATATAGGTATGAAAGTCAGGTGTTCTCATACTTTTGGGCATACAGTGTGTGTGTATGTGTGTATGTATGTACGTGTGTGTGTGTGTGTGTGTGTGTGTATGTGTGTGTTTGTGTGTGTAACAAAAACAAAACCTTGTGTTGCTAAAATGGTTACAGAATAACAGATTTTTTCCCAGTGATTTTTGACTATTGATCTGGTCATCATGGAATTTTAACACGATGCATAGGGTAACTAGAGTTTTCAAATTATGTAAAAAAGAAAAAAATCGACAGAAATGAAGATGCAAAGTTTCTGCGTGATAGCAACAGTATATATCCCTCATGCTAATGGCTGTTATAGTTATGTAGCTATAGATCTACTTGTTGCAACTGGCTCTTTATTCACCATACTTCCAGTCTTTGAACACTCATTTCCAAAGGCACTCAGGGTATTATACATTTTTAAAGAACAGCTCGCATGGAAGTGATAGAAGGCAGTGAATTGCTCTGCCCTAGTTCGCATTGGGCTGTGCTGGATGGAGATTCTCTCTTTTGAAACACTGGACGATGCCTTTTTTTCTTTCGTATTTCACCCAGTCTAAGGGACATTCCAAAAAAAAAAAACAGCATTCCCATTTGTTTTGACTTTCCAGTAATTATGGCAATTAAGAACGAAAGGTGACAGAAGTGAAAGGCAGCAAATTCATAGACACAGTCTGGAAAATCATTTCACTTCTTCACTGTGTATCAGGGACATAAAAGGCAAATATGAAAAAGGTAGAATTTCAACTTGAAAGTAGACCTAGATTTAGAGTTGTTAATTTAATATTTGCCTCTTTTTCAGCACTGACCTAGATGAAGACAATGTACATACCCTAATTCTATGCAAGACACAATAGTAACCAGAACGCAGTTGAACGCAATTACAATAACGCATGGTTTGCTCGAGTGACCTCACGTCCTCCAGCCGTATCTCGCACTCCACTTATTGTTTGATGCTTTGTTTTCCTGATGAATAATTACTTATTCTAAATGCTTGCTATTTTGAGGTTACATGTACTGCTGTTCATTATTCATAACATGCTGTAACTTTGCTGCAGAGAAGTTGTGCCTTCCAGATGGAAAACTTATCTCCAGTCAACCTTGGACAATCTTAATTTTTCCATCTCATTGGCTTTGCTGCTGCATATCATGGACTAAAGCTGACACTGTGGTCTATCTGAAGCATCTACTTCTCTAATCATTGCACCTGGGTGGAATACAGGAAAGAAAATAGCGATGGTGCTAAGTTACTTGCAGATGGTTAGTGCTCCTCTTTTGGTCACATCAGTGCACTGGGTCGGTTTTCTGGTCAGGGATTAAGCTTTATCATGGACTATAATTTCCATTGAAAATATCCATTGAAAATACTATGTAGTCCAGGACTAGGCTTAATAACTGTCTGAGAAACCGATCCTCTATCCAAAGTATCCTGATAAACTGTGGGGAAAACAGCCTCTTTAAGGTGTTCATTGCTCGTATTTGCTCACACACAGCTTGTATAATCTCCAGAAAAAGGCATTGACAATAGAATGTGACACTCTGGAGTAGCCAAACATGAACCTAAAGCCATATGCCTAATGCCCGGTGTCAGCTAGAGGAGTATGAAGCTCCCCAACATTGGACTGTGGAGCAGTGGAAATACGTTTTCTGGAGTGATGGAACTCCATACAATACCTTTAGCATGAGTTACAGGGTCATTTGTGATCCTGATCTAATGATTCAACACCAGCAATGTTCCAACTTGAAAATCTTTTTTTTCTCGGACATCATTTCTCAAATGATGTCAGGTCGGGTTCAAATTCCAGGTTCGGGTTCTTGCAGTCCACATAATTTTTTAGACAGATTTTACCCTGCATTTCCCCAGCTTTAGTATTTCTTCTTACTTTATTCTGCCTCTCCATTTTTAATTTAGCATGCTGGAGTCACCACTCATGAATTTAGGACCAAGGTCCACGAGGCCCAAGCTTGTTGCTGTGTGGAAAATAAGACAGAAGATTAATTCAGGAAAGTACACATTAGTGCAGCCAAAAGAACATTTATATTTTACTTCTTTGGCCATTTTCTTTTCTTCATATATATAAAGGCCAAATATATAACATGTTCCAGGTTCCAGAGCTTTAAGATTAAACACATGACGAGCCTAGCTTGATAAATAAATTTGTTCAAGTGGAATTTAAACTTAATGTGGGTTAGGTCAGGCCTGTACAGAAAGTTGTCAGGCTGTATTTGGACCAATATTTAAGGCTCGCTTAAAGCTCTAGCTCCAACATCTAGTAAAGCCTTCCCAAAAGAGTAGAGACTGTTACTGTAGCAAAGAGGGAATGTCTATTAATATGCTTGATTTCTTAAGAAACTTTGGATGAGTAGGTGTTTACAAACTTTTGGACATTAATGGCATTTTTCCAACTGGCAGCATGTATAGTTCTGAACCCAGAACTATCTGCAGCCTGGTCGAGTAAATGTGTCCATTTCCAATTACACAACAGAACAGTGAAAGTAGGCAGAGTTCTCTTTAGTTGTTATTGTCATACGATTTCTTACACAAATCTAGCATTGACAGTACACACAAACAACAGTAGCAACAGTAGAGGAGCATCAAGTTCTGATTTACCTTTTACTACACTTGATTTTGTGTGAGTCACAGACAGTGATTCTGAACAGCTAGTGTTTTGTTGTTGTTTTTTTTAAATTAAAGTTGGTCATCTGACTGTGTGATGATTCTGTGTAGATTGTGTTTTACCAATGAGTGGTTTGCACCATTACTAGCTCTACACATACGTTTCGGCATCTCAGCGTGTTACGGTGTACGTTACAGATCACTTGATGTGGACAAAATGCATATTCACGGATATGTAACCATACCTTACCATAAATGCATTGCCTGGTGAAACAAAAATAGTTGACACTGTGAAAAGCTGACGCATTAAGTTTAAACTCACAGAGGTTTGCTTTAAGCGAATGGTTGGGAAACATGTTGGCTTAAGATTAAAAACACAGAAATATCATTTATAACTTAAGAGAGCATGGTTAGCCTAGCTGCAGTAAGTTCCTTCAGTCGGTGGCATGTTACAGTATTCATGTTTCATAGTAATGTTAGCAAAGTAAAATAATATGCAATAGTAAGAAACTTCACAGAGTGATACAGCACTGAGCTGCCAGTTTATTACCTTGTGCCTCTTAATGGCCATTTTATCTTATATGCCGCGGGCTTAAAGGGTAACAGCACCTATTTTGCTAAATTCCTTAATCATTCAATGAATGATTATAGATGTGAACCAAATCATTCAGAGTTGTGTGATGTGAAAGACGCCTTTCCAGAGAAATTTACCGAGTCAAAATTGTTCACCCATATAGTACTAGGAACCAGACGTCTGACATGTTTAATGGCTCTAAAAGCTACATCCCGTTAAGTTATTACACAGAATGGTTATGTGTGCATGGCTTGATATCTGAGACATTGTTTTGTAATAATTTTGTTATAAAGTTTTGGCCTAAAATGTATTTTTAGTATAAAGTTTTACTCCAGGATTGCTTCTGTGTTTCCTCTCAAAACCGCATTCTCAACTGAGATCAATGCGCGCAAGCTAACGTGTTTTTGTTGTTACTAGCCTGTAGCTACAGCCATTCAACACGGCTAACGCCAGCAACAGCTTTTGTTTATAGTTCATTTTTACGGCTTTCTTACCTGTTTTGGAAGATTGCAGAGTATGCGGAAGAGTTCGAGGAGATCTACTTCCAAAATTTCGTAGATTCATATCAATTTGAACCAGAAAACACAAAGGAGTTGCAGCCATTTAAAGAAGAGAGAGCCAAAAGAGAGAGAGAGGGGGACTGAACCTGTCGGCACCCCTGCAGAGCAACCCAGGGCAAATGGAAAGAGCTGGTCTTGGCAACAAGCTACTTGTTACTCCGCTTACCAGTTTATTAGGTAGGATAGCGTGGTAGATAGTTTTTTTTTTTTTGTTTTTTTTTTTGCGTGTCCCATGTTAGACAGTCTGTTCTAAGCTAACGTCTAACAGTGACATACGTATGGTGGCTAACAACTACTCTGAATGATTTTGCTTACATCTAAACCATTAAATGATTAATTAATTTTGCAAAATCGATGGAGATCCCCTTTAAATACCAGATGGCTAGGCTAAACGCTGAGACATAACTATAGTAAATGTAACTGTTTGTATTAATGTTTGTACAATGTCAACTTTTCTCAGCACCAATTTTTTAACATTTACAGTTCTACATGTGAAAAGTTGGCCCGGGTAGAATCTCGCATGAATTTTTGACAGCGTCAACTATTTTCCTTACAGCAGTGGAAAAATACTAATTGTGTATCAGGAACTGCTACCCCTGTGTTAAGTTTACAGTTAGAAGGAACTAAGATCTCCCCCCATAGCCCATTCTTTCACACTTACGTCTTTTTCTCTCTCTCTCTCTCTCCCCCTCAGCTACACTGTGTAATCTTACTGTCAGGGCCCGCCGCACCCCGTCAGAGGCATGCAGCTCGTGAAGACAGCCAGCCAGTCACCATAATTAGCAAATTACTATTTTCACTGAGCCAGAGTCATAATTCGGTAGAGCGGTGAGCACCATCCTCTACCCTACTCTCTTCCATTCACAACATCCCACCACTGACAGTACTGCTCTAGGAACAAGGCAAAATGATTCTCCCTGTCTCACAAGCGTTTGTGGAGCTGTTTTTCTTTACAAACATTATTTTCTCTCAAGCACTCGAATACTCACACCCTACCCTAAGTGTGACTTTCGCAAAGCCGCATGAAACCTTGTGGGTTAATAGTAACACCCTCATTAGCAAGACTCTAGCATAAATCACTTGAAGGATGTGTCATTTTGTGTGCAAACTCTTTTTCTGTCTTGAGGAAGCAGTTTGGTTGTGAAAAACAAACCAAAAAAACTGTCAGATGAACTAAACTGTGTGTTCATAATGAGCAGTAAAACAAACCTTTTAGCTCATCTAGATTAGGAAGTAAGAGATGTTGTCATGGGAACAGACATCCCGCACTCTCATGTCATTACGAGTAAAACTGCTAAAAAGCGCAAAATTGAGCAGGCTGCTTTTTCAACTGTATTTGTAGAGCACCTGCGCAGGTGCTATCGCTGTCTGAATAATGAGGAAAACTGAACAAAAACAACCTAAAAATGTCTGGTAAGCCATTTACTTAAAAAGAAATTACCTCCACTGCTTAAAAGATGAACAGTGACATCAAATACAAAGAATACGTATGGCTCCCCTTGAAGCACTGATTGACTGCACACAGAAAAACAGTGAGTGAGAGAGAGAAAGAGAGAGAGAGATTTGTTCTGGGTGTTCGCCTGTCATTTCGCCTAATTTAGTAAACAAGGCTTTCATTTGTTCTGCCACAGCCTGAAAGGGTTCACTGGCTGGAGAACACTGGGGGTTGCTATCCCTACCTTGGTTACTGGTGAAGACCTTTCATGCATGTTACTTGGTTGCCAAGGATGTGCGTGGTTGCTAAGGCGGTAGGAGTTTCTCCTCACCTCCCCTCATCACAGAGCGGAATTCCAAGGTTAGCCTCCTTCTCAGCGAGGCATTTCATGCCATTTATTAAGATGGAAATTAAGCTATGGTGTGCCGTCTGATCAGTGCACTGATCAGCATGACTTGTTCTGCGCCAGGCCATAATGTTGCTAGGAATATAGTGTCTGGCCATGGGCTTATTATTATTATTATTATTATTATTGTTGTTGTTATTATTATTATTATTATTATTATTATTATTATTAATATGGTGGCACAGCAAGAAGGCCCTGGGTTTGATTCCCCAGCTGGGTGAGCAGGGTTCTTTCTGCGTGAAGTTGTCCTCCCCGTGTCTGCATGGGTTTTCTTCCACAGTCCAAAGACATGGGAAACTGGGGATGCTAAATTGCCCCTAGGTGTGAATGTATATGTTTGTATGTCTGCCCTGTGATGGACCGATGACCTGTTCAGGGTGTTTCCTGCTTCTGTCCAGTGACTGCTGGGAAAGTCTCCAGCACCCCCATGACCCAGGAGGATAAGTGGCTTAGATAACGCGTACGTGTATTACCATGTGGCATCAAATCAATTGTCCTGGTGACCATATGGGTGTTTCTCTAGGATATCTGGTCTCCTGTTTGATTCCTCTGATTGTTCCATCCATCTTGCTGCTTGTCGTCCTGTGTCTTTTCAGCATAGTATGCAGCCTTGTCTAACTTCTTTGCTATTGTGGAACCAGTCCATTTGTCCATTTTCTATCATGACTCTGGCTTGTTGATGAGTGTAGAGGTTCCTCATTAGAACAAATGAGATGCTCTGAAATACCCATTCCTAGACCTGTCACAAACATGAAATTTTAACGATTTATTGTAATTTTGTAACACTTGTTTGCCTCAAACCAACACACCCAGTTCACATTCTGCTTGTTGCAGAAATGTAACCACTGTGGAAAATGATGGTAGTTAGCCTACATAATTGCAGTCATCTCAAATAATTGCAATTAGGCAATTATGTAATAGTTGTGACAGCCCTACCCATTTCATAATTTCATGAGGACAATATAGTTGAAAGCTCCTTAGCTTTTTCAGTTATCCACTGTACATCAGCAATGATATCTCATGTTCCTCTACCTTTCCTGAATCTCGTTTCTGGCAGCAACATCTGGCAGTTCTCTTTAATGTATGGCTCCAGTTTGCATAGAATGATCTTGAGCGTAATTGTACTGACACAAGATATAAGAAAAACTGTACAATAGTTTGCACATTCTTTCTTGTTTCCTTTTTTTGATATTAGGACATAACCTGGCCTCTTCTGATCTGCTGGCCACTGAGTTGTTTTCTGGCCATGGGTTTGGCTATTTGTATTAATTAGTTTTGGCATATTTAAGGTGTTTTTTCTTTAATGTAATTTGATATGAATAAGCATGGATATGCATAACATGCTTGTTGGATCATAGAGAATATCTGTACAAAAGCAATCATGTTGCCTTGTGGTGAGTGTTTTACACGCTTCATCTTTGAGTGTGCAGCTGGCCTTTATCTCAGCATGCCTGTGTAAGCGGTGTTTTCCTGTTAGCGCCACATGACGCACAGTGCTATGACTAACTCCTCATGCCTGTCAGTCACAGGGGGTTCACAGCTACTGTAGCAACTGCCTTTCAAACATACTCACAGTGGCTGTGGTTATATTTCGAGTCACTGTGAAAAAATTGGTTGTATGACAAGATTTTTGAGGAATAATGTTTGACCACTCTTTCTCTTTTTCTCTGTCTTGTCCTGCAGCCCATCCCTACCAGTCCTAACGGCGACTCTACCACTCCAACTAGCACCATGGGCATGTCTTCCAAGATAGATGGATCTAATATGCAGGATGTGTTCATCCTGTCTCCAGTCTCGGGTCTCTATGGTACCAGGTGAGTCATTCTGGCAAAACAATTAGCCTCTCAACAGCAACAACAGAGCAAGTAGGGCACAGCCAAAAGTAACACATGGGTCATTCCCCGCCAACTTAACTAGAGCCTGTTCGGTCAAAAATTTTGAGGAATTTTTGGCAAGCAAGACTGGACGCATTTTGGTGCTTCTGTAAGAAATCATCTTTTGCAGTCACAATAACAAGAAATAGAAAAGCATGTCTGCCTCAAGTTAAGACACAGACTTATAAATACAGTATAAAAGTGTTTGTGTTTCTTCTTATAGATTCATTATTCATGATTTTTTATGACCGATTTTGATTTCTTTACAGCCAAACTGGCTGATGGGCAATTTTTTTATTTCCCTCCTTTTTTTTATCTAAAGTGAACACATGAAGTGCACAAGCAAAAAACAAAATCACAATAAAAATAACAATATTTGCTCTTTAATGGGCCAAACTGGCATTGCAAATTCTTAAACAAAAAATCTGTGTAATAGTCCATTAAAATAGCATTAATCACATGAAGTGCCACGTTGAAATTGAGAAGCAATGCATAATCGTACTACAAGATATTGGTATAGGTGTAGCAGCAACAATCAAAATGCAGCGCAGGTGCACTTAAGTGCCTCATGTTTACATCATAAAACTGCACAGAGATTGGCCACAATAATACTTGGCCGATTGCATATTTGCAGCAAAAATCTACCGATTCAGATCTTGGCCAGTTCCAGTCATGCATCCCTAGTTTATCTATTTATAGTTTTATTATTTTTTATTGTACTTCTTAGTCAAATATGTATTGTTTAAAAAAATTTATATCGCTGCTGTCAGAAGATCTCCATTTTTGTTGTTTTTGACATAATTTGAAAATGCCTGTTGCTCTTTACATTGTGTGTAAATTTTATGAAGTATGGACCAAAAGAAATGGCCCTAAATGACTTGGAAAAAAGTCTGGTTCCACTGACTTACATTAAAAGTAAAGTAGGTTTTTTCCTTTTCCTGTAAAGTTATAATTTTGGAGATACAAGGTTTTCTTTCGACAACAGCGATATATAAGACTCTTAAACCATTGTCATAGTACATCTGTATTTTGTATCTGTTAATCAAGCATAACTGTTCTGATTTAGAACAGAAAAGAAATTAGATTAGTCCCTTTTGTGAAAATATAAGGACAAAAAGGCTATAAAATGGATTTTTTATTTGTGGAATCACTTTGAACTTATAATGTAGCTTCACATATTGCATGCATAGATGAGTAATTCATGGGTTTGATAGAAATGTAGGAATACTATATAAAACCTAAATTTTGCATGAAAACAGACTGAAAGATTAAATTTCAAAGATGAAATGATTAAGTTTTAGTTTATTAAAATGAATCTAGCTGATTTAAAAATACAGTATTATTCTTAGTGTTGTAGTTGTACCCAGTTGACCCTATTGAACCGAGCATCTTGTCCATTCTGAGAATTTAGCCACGGCTCCTTTAAACCCTGCCGCCAGAGGAGTTGCAGCACATGCATTTCCATGTGAAACATATCGGCATGTAGAATCAGAGAGTTCTGTGTGCTATTGTGTTTTCTATCACTGGATGCATGTGTGATCTTCACAAGCTCTTATCATTGATTTGTTTAATCAGAGTAAAGATAAGCCTTTTTTTTTGTTTAAAAAGTACATATCAAGTAAATGCAACGGCAGCACTGAGAAATCATGTGATTAAAGTTGCAGCGTGTGCATGCCCACGTGAAACATATCAGCATGATCAAAGTAGAAAAGCAGATTAAAGAAAAGACATAGCCACATTTTGGTGTCCCCGTTATGGATATTTCAGTTCAGTTTAGTCAGTCTATAGGAGAATAAACTCAGTATTTAAGTTGTAATTTAGAACCCGATGGGGCAAAATTTAAGTATTTGAAACTGAAAAACTAATTGGAGCACCGCTTTGAAATTCTGCATGGCTTTATGACTTATATTGCCTGAATATTTTCATGGAAATCCATAACATGACAGAGCAGGTCCTAGGTGACTTGGCTTGAAATGGCCCACATGCCAATGTGGCATCACTTGTTTTTCAAGGGATCAAGACTTCCATAATCTTGTGTTCACTGAAAAAGCACAACTCAAAAATGCTAAATCTCAAATGCCAGATGTTCCCTCCTGATTTTACTGTCACGTGCTAATGTGTGTTCCTTATTTATTCCAGAGATGAGCTGGGCATCATGTCCTGTGATGACATCAGCAAGTATAGCATGAGCAAGTCCAGTTCCAAGTGCTCAGAATCACTCAGCTACTATCTTGACCAAGAGAGTGGCAAGTATTACTCTCTAATGGAGGGTGAGGGCATCCCAATTGGACCAGAGTATGACAGAGGCCGGTCCACAGGGGTACGTAGGAGAGACAAGACCCCAACTCATGGTAAGACATGATTTTTTTATATTATACTCACCTCTTTCCATACCTCCGTGCTAAGCTACCATGTACATCAAGCAGGATGTCTGCCTGAGCCACAGATTCCAACTTAAATAAGTCATTCTGCTCTCCTGTAGAGTTGTACAGCACTGCTGAATCTGTTCTTTATTTGAACCTTACATCTAACAATGACTTTAACATTTATTTCAAAAGGCATGCTAACTGCTAAGAAAGTAGTCACTTTTTCTCCATCATTTATTCTGCATCCTTCTGGTAGATCCACAAGATCTGAACCAGGATAAGCTATCCATATACAGTATCCTGCAAAAAAGTTATTTATTTAATTTGTCAAAACAGTCATTAAGTACAAGTTATTCATTTTTCAGTGTCAGAAAGCAGAAAACATATGTAACACTCAACAATTAGAAGCCTCAATAGCTAAATATAATACCAAATTGTTCAGTATTTAGTGTGTCCACTCTTTGCCTTTATTATAGTGCCCATTTATTAGGACACTTGCTTTCAGTTTTTCAAAAAAAAATCTGCAGGGATATTTTCCATACCTCTAAAGTTCAGTCTTAGAAGTTGGTTGAATTTTCTGATTTTTTCAGTTATTAAGAAACAGTGGAGCTTGATTTTTTCCTTTACCTCTCAAATTGGAAAAAACTTTAAGTGCTGTTTATTTGATGGTGACACTTTTGGTGGTCTACCAGGTGGCTATGCAAGTGGATTATGTCTCCTCAGAAATACCATCTGAAAAGTTCATTCCAATAAAGGGTGGAGTTTTGCATAGTGCTGTATTTCAGTGCAAAATTAACAGTGATACTTGGAATCATGTTAAATTGAGTCAAAACTAAAAAAAAAAAACACAAAAGTATTAAAATTTCATGATGGTTTTAACTGGCTGCACACTTTATTTTCATGTAATAATGTTGAAATACTCATGTTCACCCTGTGGCATATGGCTTCTTGCCCAAATAGTCAACTGTAAAAGGAGAGCATGATTTATTTGACAATGGAATGAAGTGTGTGCCCTTTGCACTCCCTCCTTACCTTGCATGTGTCTGCATCTGTCTCTTGATCCCACTGCCAGGAAAGCATCTAAGGGAACGCAGTTCCTGGATGAGTTTTGCTTTCATTATAGTGTTGTTGACAGTAGAAAAGGAGAAGGCTCATCCTTCAGCAGATCTACTCAGAGACTTTACAGAATACAGGCCCAGATCTCATCTACGCTACATTCATATCCTGCTGCACCAAGCTTTACTAGGCTCAAAAGCTTCCATTATGGCTTTAACATAAGCAATGATGACCAGCTATCTGCCACCAGCAGGTCTCATTCACTGACCCAGGAAGGGACATCTTTGGCCAAGGACTGATAATGGTGAAAGAATAAGCCCATTGTCCCCCATCCCCCAGTAAAGATCTTGTATAGAGAAGCCATGTTGGCCACCACACAGGTAAAGCTCATCGGTCTCATGAAAGAGGCAGAGAAACCTCTCTTATTAGCAGCGTGCCAGGCAACTGGAATGCCTCCAAGTTTGGTAATTGCTCAAGTGAGGCATGCTCCGTCAGTCTGATTTCCCAGACGCACATGTGCTGTGGCACAGCCCGCACCCTCACGCATCTTCCTTCCACACATATCTTCCCTTCACGTGACCCTCACCTCGTTTCGCCTTACCCCACAACTTGTTTAACATTTCTATCTTTGCTCACAGTCCCTGTCTATTTGACGTGTCCCTTTTCCTTCAGCTCCCTTTTTCCTTCGTTGTTCTTCTTATCCTCTGTTCCCTCACAATGCACACCAGCATCCCTGAGCACACTTCCCACACCTTTACCCCCTCAACAGCAAGCACCCTCCAGTTGATGTGCTCATTGGACTTCTTTCTAGGTGATCTCAGGCCCGTCTCCATGCCCCCGGAGTACAACTGGATGGCTGAAAGCAAGGAGCCCAATATGTACAAGAGGGGCAGCCGAGGTGGGTTCTCCAACTGACGGCACCCACCTCTACTGCTCTGGTGGCCACAGACATCCCGTAGTACCCTGACACTCTCTTGCATACAACACACATACATGTCCTGCTCCAACAAAACAAAGAAAAATCAAGATATTCAGTAAATGAGAATCAGCATGGGCCACCTCCAGTGATACATTGCTCATTCTGTTTAGCCATACTGCTTTGCCTCATTTGTTGTTGAGAGCATTGGATGAATGACCATCCTCTTCTTTTTCATGAAAACTGAAATGAGCTATTCGTTGTTTAAGAATAACTTTGAGGAGTTAGGAAACTATTACTTGAAAGCTAATATACCAAAATTATAATCACAGTGATATTTTTAACATTGAAGACATTAAACATTACAGGGTTTGAGTTCATGGTAGTTCATGACACATGGTAAAACACTGGTAAAGAGCAGTGGGGCATTTTTTTATAAAACATGACACTAAGTGCTTTTCTTATGCAATGCTTATCAAATGTTAATGGTTTTGGAAACAATAACTAACATTCTAAGCTGTTTCTTGTAGTCAAAAGTCCTGACCAGGATAAATGATCTATTTCTTATTTGATAAAAACAAACGGACAAACAAAAACACAGTATTAGTAACACCATGAAGTGACTGTAATAAAGCATTCAATAACATTCTGGCTCCAAAGCTAAGTTCAAAGCTAATTTCCAAGTTCATTTAAGTTCAAGATCTAATTTAAAGCAGTGTATTCAGTGGCACATTTGCATAATAAGTCAGTGTCGCATTGGATATCTCACAGGTTAATTTTGAGACTACCTGAAATCCTCCAATGTTTTACACACATTTTTCATCATCATTTGTCATCTCTTGGTTTTAGACAGCCAAGGAGCCAGTGCTGATTTTGATTTTGCTGTTTTGATCATGCCAGCATCAGTGCCAGGAGGCTGGTTTGAGGATGATCAAAGATATGTTCTCCTTGAGAGTGATAAAAGTGTGGTATAGGAGTGGAATAAGCAGAAAACACCAGAGCCCTTCGAACCTCCAGGCCATGGCTCTGACTTCCTCATCCCCTTTATCTCAAACTCAGTTCTCTCTCCTTGTCTCAGAGAGCTTACTCTCCACAAAAATCAGCTCTTTTCCTCCCTGTTTCTTGCTTCACTACTTCAGGTTCGCCTGTACATCATTTCTCTCGGTCACCTCCGATACGGCTTGGGGTGACAAGGCTCCCTTATGCCTTGTGCAATTTGCCTTTGTGCTATCAAAAGTAGAAAAGTCATTAGTGATGTAACCTTCCATTAGTCTTGTATTCAGATTTGGGTTATTCTTCAGGACAGCGATATATGGAGCAAAGTAAAAGCAAAGTGGTGCAGTGTTTCCTAATACAATCCTCTGGCCCCCAGACAGTCCACATATGTGCTCTGTTCTAGCTCACAGCACAACTGTACCAGGTATTCCGTGTTCTTGCTTTGGTTCAAGTGCTGGGAGCTGGAACAGAGCGAAAATGTGGTCCATCAGAGATGGGGACTTGAGTCAGTGACTCAAACTCAAGTTGCACGTTGAACTCCACATGCAGTTGCCCTTAAATGACTCGCAACTCGACTTGCACTCAAAACTTATTAGGACCTGAGGTAGGACTGCATACTTTAATGGAGCAAATAAATAAAATCCTTTTATTTCCAACCTTAAGTGTGTGATTTTGTCAAGCCCAGATCATCAAGTTTTGCAGTGTGCGTAGGAATTTTTTTTTTTAACTAGATTTTACTGCTGACAAGGATGACTTTTTTTTCTTGGCTGGCTGTTTTATTTGATTTTGGAAATGGGCATCCTCTTCTCTGTTGGGGTATCAGGGCTCGCTTTGAAGTTTCAAATTCAAGTACGTTCCAAGGATGCTAGCTCACTGCTAACATATCTGAAGGCTTGACCAAGGTAATAGTGAATAGTGAAATGCTAGCTAAACAGTGACTGGAGGAGGAAATGAAGCAGAAGTTTAGGAAAGACATGTCAGGAGGATGACCTGTTGTGACATAATGACAAATCTGTTCATTTTTTTGCTGTGCCACTAGTAAAATTCCCACCACGAGTCAAAATAGCTGTTTAGATTTTCTCATAATTGCTCGTGGGTGCCCCCTAGTGGCTTGGGCCCCTGGGCACGTGCCCATAAAACCCATTGGATGATCTGGGCCTGGACTTTGCAGTAATACCTGAACATGACCACAGCAGAACTGGCAGACAAACACATTGTCCCGCAGTTTGCAGCAGGGGTCTAGTTCAACACAGCTTCAAATAACATGCCTTTCATTACAGAAGAACTTCAGTCTGATGGAAAAACAAAGTGCTACATGAAGTTAATGCAGTGTTTAAACGAAAGAGGCAAAACAGCTTGAAACTCAGGGCTAGCATGTAGTTTGAATAGCAAGTATGCTTTCTAGCATACTAGCAATCATTGCTACAGCTGTCATCTTACTGAAGTTTTAGTAAGTTACAGATCACATTCCTATAAAACTTACTAAAGTTTCAGCAGTCACCAAGGACTGGATTGGGAAACACTGCCTTAGCACTATGGTTCTCAATCCTTTTCCTGCACTCCTGGTCTGCATATTTTAATGGTTTCCAGCTTCAGCACACCGACTTATATTCACTGGTGGACAGTAATTAAGTTGATGTACTTCTTACTATACTTTTCTTACATATATGTATCTTATTAAAGTCTTTCCATTTTCGTTGAATTTTCCTTTTCTTCCACTACAGTTCAACGCAAAATATTCAGCTTTTTACTTTCTTCACAAATTTTACTACTTACTGAGAAGTGAGAGAAAAGTAGATGCTCTAAAATATCTTAAAAAAATATGTTGCACTTTCAAACTCAAGGAAACCAATCATACGGCACCTTTCACAAAACCCCTTTCCTAAATACTGATTAATTGATCTTAGCTTAGCAACTGCAAATAGGCATCTTTAAAAAAAGATGATGATATGACATAACATGTGGGGGGAAATTTGGTAAATACCTGGTGATATTCAAAGAGTTTGGAGGGGAAAGTAAAATTTGACGAATTTCCTAAACCAAGGACACGAGGAGAGGAAAGAAAAGGAAAAAAAAAGTTCATTGTCATGCTTGCACTATGATTGCAGAATGATCTTTGTGCTAGGAATGCTTTTCTGTGCCCTGAGTTGTTGAATCAGGTGTGATGTATGGTAGCTAGAATAAAAAACACTGAGTGGAACAAAGTTGAAAGTTCAGGCTCATACTGGATTGATGGGAATTCCTCCTATTAGCTCTTCCTGCGCCCTGTTTCTTCAGAGCGTGTGTGCATCTGCATTCAGCCATCGCATTTCAGACATCCTATGAATAACATTAAGGCTAGCGGCCATTGGTGGGCTTGTGTGGGTGATTGTGCCATGCTCACGAGTCACATTATAGATATATTTTTTAGTCAGGCCAATGAGTGAGCTTGGCTGTGGCACTCACTGTCACCTTTGATGAGGTAACTGTACTTAAAATGTGAACATTTCAAGATTAAGTAGCGTTTAAAGCAATGAAGGTTTAAATGTTTCTGCTGCACAGAGCTTGGAAACAGTCCAATCTTAGAGTTCAGATGCATAATTAAGTCCTACAATTCTTTTTCAAATTGAGACAGAACAGACATTATTTCCTTAAAGATGCATTTTTTGTGGCCAAGAGAGCTAATACGGTTGTTGGCTGGTTGTATAGATCAGAATCAAGGAGAGGACGGTCAGTTCAAAGAGGTCAGACCCGCTAGAAAACTAGTCATTTTCTTCCAGGCAAAGCATTAACAAACAAAGTGCCTATTCCCTCTAACCTCAGATTCAGACACGTCCCTTCTTCGCTACATGAGTGATGACAAGATCCTGGTCATCCAGGAGGAACCGGATGGACCAAGGGAATGCAAGCGGGACACCAGTCGCCGTTCCCGCAAGAAAGGCAAGAATCCAAGCAGTCCCAGCTTTCCCATCAGCCCCTCTCTTCTGGCTTCCACTGTGCGACTGGATGGGGCAGCGCCGCCTGACAGCCTACCCTTCCCACTGCCCGAAAACAACACTGTGCCACTTTACCACGTGAGTAACGTGACACTCCTGTCTGTCCTTAGCTGCTCCACGCTGGAGCTTTAAATAGGGGAATTAATCATTTCAGTGACATTTCACTGAAGCTCACATAATAACCTGAGTCAGGCACCCCAAGTCAATGTACTGGAAATGAGTGGGAAAGCTCCATTATAAAGCTATAGATGAATAGAGATTGATGATGGATGGCTCTGTTTAAGCAGGTTTGGTGGAGGACTTTTGGGAAAGGTCTGACAGGTGAAAGAGAGTTCGACTCTAGATTCCTTCGACTGGATTTTGAAGTGCGCTCTGTTGCTGTCCTGCATTGTTCATGACCCACAAACGCTCATGTCAGCTGGGGTTAGTGCAAGTCCAGCAGAGTGCCTGCAGCATCTGTGTCCATCTGTTTCTTTATGCTACACCTCCACACTCCCAGAACACTCTGCTCAAGCACATTGCAGCGTGGAGTATTATTTATTAAACCATAACCACAACAGGAGCCACACAAATTGGAGAGATTAGTCTTTGACTCTGTTTACACCTGGCCATTTCATTTGACTCCTCTCTGGATTGTAATCTGATAAGATTTTAACCACATGCACATCAGATGTGTCTCTAGTTTGGCAGATTGAAATTTGTTTGCTATATGGCACATAATATGCAAATCAGCCCATATACAACAAAGCCTCATTTTTCCTGTTCTGTTCAAAAGATGGTTGCCACCTCGAAAATGACAATTTTACATGCCATTATTGATTTCCTTATACCGGATTTACATCGATATTTACAAGACTGTTTTGAATAATTATCATACTGCTTAAGTCATGGACTACGTGCAGTAAATTGTAAAGTATTGTCACAATACAGTGAATAATAATGAGGTGAAGTAAAGATTAGTCAAACTAGCACTTTATTTTATCTTGCTCAGGCTGCTGGAGGCTACTGAATCAAACAAAGAGGAAAAAATAATATTAGGAATTAAACCAGTGGATGCCTCTTTTTAGTGGTGACAGTCTAGCAGGTGTTTTCATAGGGACGTGCCATCACAGTATTGGGAGTGTTTTTGGTTGTTTGTCCTGGAAAGTATGTATTACGTTCCTGGACACAAAATGTCCTGGAATTCAAGCGTGTTTATATGTTAGAATGTAAAATGCATTTAAACTGGTTCTTTTATCCAATCAAACCATTTGTATACAAAGAATGGGTTTGATTTTTTTCAAATTACTTCAACAAAGGGACAACTGTTTCGGAAAAGTGAGCTGTCAGTGACATTTTTACGCACTAGGCATACACAGTAGCTGAGAGGAATAGCTTCTGTACCTGAACTGACCACTATCTACCTTAGATATCATCATAAACATGGCTATCCATCCACTAAATTTAGCAAAAAAAAAATCAAGCCACTGATTAAGTGTCCAGGAATTTTACAGGGCTGAGGAATGAGGACCCTAGTCTGAAACCACCTCTAGAAGTTGCATGAGACCTCCAGGTGTAAAGGGTATTTTATGATGCCACACTTTTTGTCGCAAAACTAGACCCTATTTATACCTGGTCGCCTCATGTATCTTCAGTATCATGATAAGTATCAGGATAAATGCAGGTGTAAATGCACCCACGTGCAAACGTATAGGGCAACAATGGCATGCAGAATTGTGATTTTTCTTAGGAATAGGAATGTGGAACAATGTATATATACAAATTAGCTGATTTGCATAATGTGTGCCAGACAGCATTCAGATTTCAGTCTGACTAACCGGAGATGCATGTGATTACAAGGTGTGAAAGCATGTGACTGAAATCTTTTCAGGTTACAATTCGGATACAAGTCACATGAAACGAGAAAGTATAAATGTGGTCCTAGAGTTGTCGGTCAGAGTAGTAAATGACATAGCTGTCACGCAGTCACAGTGTCCTTCAGAGACTTGCAGGAGAGAAGGACAAGAATAGTTGAGGGCTCTGCACTCAGAGGCCGGATGTCAGCTGACAGACAGGCCGTGCAAGATCCACTATGTGAGGAAGAAAGTGAGATGGAAAGGAGAGAGCAAGAAAGAGAGAACAACATACAAGTCAAGTAAGGAGAAGAACCAGACCACACGTGGCACTCAGGGTATAGCAGTGCCTGTGCAAAGAGTCAGAAGCCATTCGCCTGTGATGAAAGTCGTGTCAAGACACATCCCTATCACAGAAACCCAAGACCAAGTACACTCTGCTTCGGTTAGGTGCATAGCATTGGGATGAGATAATAATAGACACGGACATGAGGTTTGAATTGGGGTCTCACTGTGACAGATGAGCCTTAGGAAGCCCCAGCTGGCGGCTAAGTAGGCAAGCAGATGAAAAAGTGGCACGGATACTAATCCACCTATGACTTCTGCTAGTTCGGCAAAGAATATTTGAACCACAATGATTTTCTTACTGGTCAAGAGCAGTTCAATAAAGCATTCGTATTCTTCAGCTCATGCACAGCAGAGGTCCTTTTTTTACCCTTTCTTCTTCCTTTGGCCAGCTAGAGTCAGAGAATCATTGCATTGTTTATCACTCGCCAAATCTGTGCTTGCAAGTGAAAGATGACTCACAGAACAGAACAGCACTCGAAGCAGATTGACAGTGACGTGTTGATCTTTCCTCTCTGCAGCAACAGAGAGCCGGTGACACACTGCGAGCAGAACCAGAGAGGTGAGAATTGGCCTGCTGCTGTGTTGACCACTTAACTTCCAATAAAAAACATCTTGCAGAAAATTAAACAGTCTGTAATGTGTACAGGTATCCAGGATCTGGAATGGAAATACAAGGAGGAACATCTATGAGGAAGGTGAATCTTCACAAACACAAACTGAATCGTTCAGTGTTTTGCATTTCATTGTTAAATCGGGTAGTTTTTTGCATTCATTGCATGTTAACCACTTAACCATTAACCACTCACTTAAAAATGATCTACTAAAAATTAACCACTCCTTATAAAACTCCTATGATGCTTATGTGCCCTATATTGCATGTCTGAAATTGCTAGATTAACCTAAAAAAGCAAGACCTCATGCCAGCAGCAGTCCAATTTTATTTGCTTTAAATGATGCTAAACAGAAAAGCTGATTGTTAGATTTCATAAGCTTTACAGTGGCACTAGATTTCTTTTAAAAATTGTATGAAAAACAAATTAATAGGGATTTGCTACTAGTAAACTAACTATACAGGGCTCTTCCATCAAGATGTCTTTTATTCTTTTTCCCCTCAACAGTCATTCCACTATACTTCATTAAGGACAAAAACCAAAAAGAGAACTAAAGGTATGTTTGGAGACCACATCAAATGTGAGAGAAACATTTCTTGTGCTTTTATTGGTACACTGTGAACTATTTAATGTTTTGTACGTTAGGTTCCCTGACCAGCGGCAGCCGCAGGAAAATCTCTTGTAAGGATCTAGGCCATGGTGACTGTGAAGGCTGGTTATGGAAGAAGAAAGATGCCAAAGGGTACTTCACTCAAAAGTGGAAGAAATACTGGTTCATTTTGAAGGACTCTTCTCTCTACTGGTACACCAACCAAAATGTAAGCCGGACTCCTTCCATCTGATCTTCATAAATATGCATCTAATACAAACGTCCACATCAATGTGTGTATTTGTTTAGCCCCTTAAATGACCAGGGCCCATCAGCAGTCCCGAAGTTTTACTACACACTACTATAACCTAAGAAAAATTCAACTAGTTTGTATTGTAGTCCATGTAGTTACTGAATAATAAGCCTTAGTTATGTCATAAGCCTGGGATTTTCAGGGTTTAGCGTGTTTGGAGAACAAAGAAGTAAGCTGTTATGGCAACTGTGCATTGTGACTATTTCTTATATTCCAGTATCTATAAATGTTAATGAAAAGATATATTTTTTAACCATGGGGAAAAACAGATTGGACTTTGACTGATATTGACGAATCATAAAACATCCTTTTCCCACTGCAATTAAAGGGCCCACATGGAAACTGAATTTCCATATAAGACAATTTTTATAAGCAAGTTTTTTGCTTTTTGGAGGAAGAAATATCACCAGTATAGATGCCTGTGGTAAACAGTGCTGTTCCATTTTTTCCCATATGCCATTTTTCTCCAAATTTCACTGGATCCTCTAAATTAAGAGGTCAGTAAAGAGGCTCCCAAGTGGCACAACCATCTAAGCGTTGACCCTATCATCAGGAGATCACGAGATCGATCCCTGGTGATGCTACAGCCATCCGTAGCCGGAAGTGCAAAAGAGCACAAATGGCCTCGCTCTCTCTGGGTGAGTAGGATGGCCCCCCCTTCTCCCCCCATCACTCAACGCGATGCTAGTCAGCGCAGGCGTCTGTTAGCTGACGTAACAGACCTGGGGGTTGACGCTTTCCTTCGAGCGCGTTCAGCTGTCCAATGACATTGCGTGGGCGGCAGTTTGAAAAGAGGCGGTGGCTGGTTTCCCTTCCTCTCGGAGGAAGCCTGTGTTAGCCTTCACCCTCCTAGCGTTGGTAATATTGTGTGATTGGGGGAGTCCTAATTAGGGGGTGGAATTGGAAATTGGACTAAATTGGGGAGAAAATTGGGTAAACCCAAAAAAAAAGGTCAGTAAAAAGTTAAAATATCAATAATGCTACATGCAAGCTAACACTGCTGTGCATTGAATATACATCATAAGACTGGCAACCTCACCAAAATATTCCCCACAGTACTGCAAGATTTGTGAAATGTAGAAGTTGTAGTCTGAGTTGGAGTAGCTGGTGTTAGTAAATACAACAGTATTGAAGTTTAATAGTGTATTTCATGTGACATCATTTTCGTACACACGAGTGTTTGCTCGCTAGTAACATATTTGGCAATTTTCTTATTTCGACTGCTAAATAACCTTGTAATTCAGAGAATCCAGTGACATTCGGGGGAAAAAAATATACATACAACAACAAAATGTATTGGGTTTGGAACAGCATGGCAATTTTTAAGACAGCATTAATTCTTCACATAGAGAAAATTGCTCAGACCTGAAGTTCCTAATATGGGCATGATGGCGACTACAGCATGACACAATACATCAGAGGTGTATACTGTCCATATATGGAAATGGTTAAAAATAGCCAATTTTAGGGTGCATGCGTTTGACAAAAGTAATATATTCAGCGCCTTGACAAAGTATTTGTCCCATCATGATTTCTTTTTATGTTTGCGTGTCACTTGTTTCCGATCTTCAGACAAAGTTTAGTGTAAGACAAAAACAACGCTGAGTGCATAGGTGACAAAGGTGTTGCAATTTTTTTTTCCTTCAAAAAATGAAATGATCATTTAAAACTGTGCTTTATGTTACTTCACTGATCTAAAATAATCAGAAACCACTTAGTGTGACCTACCAAATATACAAAAAGAGCAGAAATCACGAGTGGGCAAATACTTTTTTAAGACACTATAGAAAACAACAAACGGAAATATTGTATGGCAAAATATTCTATTTAATGTCAACACATATCCTTATCACACATCATAACAAGGTATCGACATGATTTTTCCCTTTATTTTTTCCAAATATTTACATACTTATCACAGATATTCACATCTGAAATGTATAACTGAGCACTTTACTCATGCACACCCCTTAAATCAAGAGGAGTTCTGCTCATCTGATTCTTGAGTTGCTAGGATCTACAGTCCATGTTCATGGCAGTGTTAGTATGGTTTTACATATATAGCACAATGAGTAAGGAAGCCACTAAAACCAAACTGGCTGTCAAGGTAATGCATACGTCATACTTTCCTTACTCTTTGCCTCAGCTTGACTATTTCTTCCATTTATCTCCCCACACTGCCGACGTCATACTCTCTAAAACTTCAATCATCCAGTCCTCCTTTACTTAACTACCCCCTACAATCCAATTCTCTTTTTCTCTCTCTCTCTCTCTCTTTCTGCAGGACGAGAAGGCTGAAGGCTTCATCAGCTTGCCCGAGTTCCGAATCGACAGAGCAATCGAATGCAGGCGGAAATTGTGAGTCTCCTTCAGGTTTCCCTTGAGCACCCTCATTTCCCTTCCCCCTCCTTCCCTGCATGCACACAGAATTCGCTTCGCCCTCTGGGTGATATAAAGCATACATTACCTCTGTGAGGTTGGGAAACAAACAAGAGAGCCCCGGCGGAATTAATAAAGCTGACCAGAGCCTCGTGCTGATGAAGCCACGCGATGAATGATTAGAGGTGGAGCATGCTATCCTTCACAAGGCATGGCCACTCTTTACAGCTTCTGTCTCATGTCCTCTTAGCCTAGTACAAACTAATGAGCCAAGCTCCTTCACAGCTGTAAATGTGGTGTGACTGGTCAGATCACACTCCTCGGGCTGCATGTGCTGTAAGAGAGGTGTCATAGATGGCCCACTGCTACCCATGAATCCTTCCCTCTTGGTCTTTAGCACATTATCCTTTTAATTCTTTGGCAAAAAAAGTAAACATATGCATAAGGGCCCAGCCAATATGAAGATTTTGCGGCCGATACCACTTAGAAGGGGGTTAAAAATTCTGATAACTGATAATAATGGCCAATAGACTTTTACATTTAGAGTTTCTCTCTGTTACTTATTATTTTTTCATTGGCTTGCTTGGGCTGTCAAAATACAGTTCAACATTCGAATATTCATTAAATTCAAAGGCAGAAAAAACACATTTGAACACAGAAAATATCCATTTGAAAGTTGACAGTTACCTCTGCTGTGGAATCTGACAGGTTTTTAACTGTTCAGTCAATCTGAACGAGGTGATCTGTTTAATGTATAGAGCTAAATATGTAACGCTAATGTGTAAAAATGCATTCTTGTGTGAGGAAACTGAATGGTCAGCTTCAGGTTGAAGGCTTTTCTGACAAGTCAACACTCTGAATGTTAGCAAGTATGAACAACTTGAAAAAACATGTTTTTTATGTGTTATTTGAGCCAAGCGTTTTTGCATTTTGTACATGCAGTAACCCAGAAACTACATGGCTAAGCTGCTATTCAGCTAATGTTACTGCATCTAGTTACTGACTTTCACGTTTGTTTCAAGTTTGTTTCAAGTTTGTTCGCTTGGTGGTGATCTTGGCAACGCCACCAGTCATACAAGACCAGATGCTTATTTCTTTGAAATGGGAGAGACCTAAACACTCAAAATGAAGGCCAAATTACCGTTTCAAAAACATATTTGAAATCACTGATAAAATCTGACAGAAATCACATAAATAGTTTGTAGCACTTGGCTCAAATAACACACAAAGTTGTTCACAGTCGAGTTGTTTGGGCAAGTTGTTCTCCAGGGCCTTTTCCCCACTCGTGGCTTAACCGGCTGATTGGCTATTTTTAGTTAAGAAGGGACTTTTTTAAAAACAGACACCGTGTTGAGTGTCACAAGCTTTTCCATTCATTTTTAATGTCTCTGCTTTCACTACAGTTAATGTTCTTATAATATAGCTTATAATAACAGCAGGATATCGCTGGCGAAGTTCTCAGACCCCTGGGCTGAGAATTGCTGGTTTAAACGTCGTATGTTTTTGAGGTTGCTTGATCATTTATGCAGAGCATAATGGATGGAGGAGACATAGCAATGACTTGGAAATCTGGCATTTACTGCCGTTATTTATCTTCTTACATCTTTGTAAAATAATGTAAAAAATGATGTATTTATAATAAGAATACATTTGACAAACAAACAAGGGGACAATTTGATTTCTGATACCATCTGACAGCTGTAGTTCTTTTTTTTCTTTTTTTTCTCTTTTTCATATGTTATCATGCTAAAGATTAGATTTGGATACATCTTTTATGTTTTTTATTTTTTATTCAAACCATGATGATGTTTTGTGTTCAGATCCTAGTTCAGCTTGTACTGCTGTCATATAATTAAATAATTGGAGTCTTTTTTGCAACTAAAAAAGGCATAATCTATTCACCAAAAAAACGTGGGTTGCCAATAAGGGCCAATATTATCAGCCAACAGGTGTAACTGGTCAGGCCCTATTCTGAATATTCTGCAGGACATAAACTATAGCAGTGTTTCCAACAATAAAGCCAGCATCCTGCTTCTTTTGTATATTGATAGATAACTTGGTAACACAGCACTAATTTCACATGCTGACATCTATACTTTATATTTTAAGTTTCATATTTTAATGTGCCGAATATGGGCATGCATGCGTCATAATTATGCTGGGAGAAAGATTTTAATGAGTAAAAGGTGCCAAAGCCAAAGTCTCTGAATGCATTGCTAAAGATAAGTTAAGGCAGGGTTAATGGTTTGAAAATACAGTACACAGCATGATTTAGAGCAACAGAAACTTTACTTCAAGAACCAGTAATTACACTTTAACACAACATGGTAATCACTGATAGTAGGACGTAATTACGACCTAATTATTTAGTATGATTAACTAAGTTGCTTATCCGGACACTCTTAGTGGTTTCGTGCTCTCATTGTGAAAGCTTTGGGGTTGCACAAGTAAAAATGCAAGTTTGAGAAAAAAGCCTTACCTTTGCTGCATTTGCAGAATGACCTCACTGTTCTCTTCCAGTGCCTTCAAAGCCTGTCACCCAAAAATCAAGAGTTTCTTCTTTGCCACAGACTGTTTGGAGGAAATGAACAGGTAAGAGTAGACTGCCATTTCAAGCTTTTGTACACTCACTCATTCACTCACACACACAGAAATAGTCTGTCTACACCAAAGAAAGTAATGCTTAGAATGTATTTGATTCAAATGTGTACATCATTTTCACACACATAAAATACATTGCATGTACAGTATGTGATGCTTTTAAAAGGTGATTCTAGCCTAAACATTATAGATGGCTGAGGATAATAACATTAGGATGCTAATGTTTTATGTTCCTGGACACTGATCACACATGCATGCCCACGTAGAACTGTTTTCTTCCCAGGCCTTATCTCTTAAACTCTTTACATGAATAAGTTATGCCTGTTTCTCTTTCTTTGCTGCCAAAGGTATGAAAGATTGAACTTGCATAGAGTGCATTTTGTTAGCTGCTTTCTCCCTCCATGCACCCAGAACAGATTTTGTTGCTGAGGCATCTAATGGTCCAGGCAGCCCAACTGCACAGTTCAGTGACCCACCATATGACAGCTTGTTACAATGAATCGGCTGCTGATATTATGCGCTGTTGTTTACACATAGCACTTTACCTCCTACATATCTGAATTGAGTGAATAGGATATACTCAACTGTTAGAGGGCTCACATGTGACCAGGGCTCCAAACTAGTTGGAGTAACAAAAACAAAAACCAGAAACTAGAAACAAAAAACGCAACTGAAAATGTAATCATGTTTCACTGTTCTGGAAAATAAAACATTAATTTACCAGTTAATAACATAATTTTACTACCATGTTATTTACAGTTGTTTACAAAAGCTTGTGAACTCTTGGCAAAAATACACATTTTGTTTGCTTTTGAAGTCAAAAGAAGTAAACACAACTTCCACAACTTTTTCTGCAAACATTAATGCACAGTTATTTTTTGTTTGATATCATGTGCAAAAGTTTGGACACCCTTCTAATTCAGTACGTAGTATCATCCCCTTTGACAGATATTACAGCCTTTCTCTTCTTGTTTTAGGAATGTTCACCAACTCTTCTTTGTAGAACACTTCTAGGTTTTGGGTAATCTCCCACAGCATGTTTAAGATGCACCCATAGATGTTTAATGATGCTCAAGGCAGGGGACAGTGAGGGCATTTAAAAAGTTTCAGCTTGCTTTCATGGTGGATATTGAGATATGTTTTGGGTCATTGTCCTCTTGTAGAAGCCAGCCTCTTTTTAGCTTCAGTTTCGTGAGTGACTGTGTCACATATACTTCCAAAATTTGCTTATATTTAGTGGAATCCATTCTTCCATCTACCTGTGCAGTGTTGTCTGTGCCACTGGCTGCCAAATAACCTCAAAGCATAATAGATCCACCCCATACTTAACAGTTGGCAAGGTATTATGCTACTCCTTTTCCCCCCAAACAAGCCTTTTGTCACTGTGGCCAAAGAGTTGCATTTTTACTTCATCAGTCCACAGCACTTATTTCCAAAATGATTCTGGCAGTCTAGATGGTGTTTTGCATACTTCAGACATTGACTTTTCTGATGAGGTGGGAAGAAAGGTTGCCTTCTGATGACTCTTCCATGCAGATCATGTTTGTGCAAGCAGTGCTGCTCATGTGTCAGCTAAGCCTTCCTGCAGATTCTTTGCTGTCATAGGAGGGTTTTGATTTGCTGGTTTCGCCAGCATACAAGCAATTCTGTCTGACAGCTCTCTTCATCTTCTTGGTCTTGCCTTGACTTCCACAGTTCCACTTAACTGTTGTTTCTTAAAGACATTTAAACAGTGAAATGGACAAAAGTAAAAATTAAAATTGTGAGCTGGAAACACTATCTTTTTATAGCCTTCCCTTGGTTTGTAGGCGTAATTAGCTTCATTTCCCTCAGCCAGCTGCTTAGAGGAGACCATGGTTGTTGAATGTTAGCACAAAGTTTGAAGAGCCAAGTTATTGTACAGAACTAGAGGTGTTCTGCGAATAAGAGTGGGTGAAAAATCCTAAAACAAGAATAGAAAGAAGCTGGCTACAAATAGCTTTTACAACCTGTGATGTCTTTGGAAGGGGGCATTACTAAGTACTGAATGAGTAGGGTGTCCAAATCTTTGCACATGCATGAATTATTTATTTAATTACTTATTTAATTATTTATTTTAAAAATAGTTTGCTGCTGAGATTGTTTACTTTTGTTTACTCTTTTCACTTTAAAAATCAACAAAATATGTGATTTCGCCAGGGGTGCACCAACTTTTGCATACAGCTGTATGTCTTACCTCCAAACTCCTAAATGTCCCAAACGATTAACATCCAGTCTTGCGTGATTTCATTCAGTGTATCATTTTACCAGATTTAAATGGCATGTGTGTGGTATTTTTGCGCTTAGGCTATAGATTCATTAGGTAAACACGATCTATAAGTAGACAACAGCTCTGAATGTTCTCTGTGCTCTTCTGCATACTCTCACATGATTCTGTTTGTATTCCATCATGTTACGAGGAACCATTTAGACATCTAGCATGTCTGTGCCATTGAGAATTTGCTCACTCTACTGACTGTGCAACACTGCATTTGGACTTATTTTGATCATTATAACTTTTGGTAAATTATTATGGGCTATTTTGCAGTAAAAAGTAAAATTCCATGGCCTATGTATGTGCACACATTTCCTTACTCCCAGGCTGAGCTTTCAGAGTATAAAATTTAATTAAATACAGTGGGGCAAAAAAGTATTTAGTCAGCCACTGATTGTGCAAGTTCTCCTACTTAGAAAGATGAGAGAGGTCTGTAATTTTCATCGTAGGTACACTTCAACTGTGAGAGACAAAATGAGAAAAAAAAATCCAGGAAATCTCTTTGTAGGATTTTTAAAGAATTTATTTGTAAATTATGGTGGAAAATAAGTATTTGGTCACCCACAAACAAGCAAGATTTCTGGCTCTCACAGACCTGTAACCTCTTCTTTAAGAAGCTCTTCTGTCCTCCACTCGTTACCTGTATTAATGGCACCTGTTTGACCTCGTTATCTGTATAAAAGACTCATGGCCAAGACCAAAGAGCTGTCGAAGGACACCAGAAAGAAAATTGTAGACCTGCACCAGGCTGGGAAGAGTTAATCTACAATAGGCAAGCAGGTTGGTGTGAATAAATCAACTGTGGGAGCAATTGTAAGAAAATGGAAGACATACAAGACCATTGATAATCTCCCTCGATCTGGGGCCCCACGCAAGATCTCATCCCGTGGGGTCAAAATGATCATGAGAACGGTGAGCAAAAATCCTAGAACTACACGGAGGGACCTGATGAATGACCTGCAGAGAGCTGGGACCAAAGTAACAAAGGCTACCATCAGTAACACACTACGCCGAGAGGGACTCAAATCCTGCAGTGCCAGGCATGTCCCCCTGCTTAAGCCAGTACATGTCCAGGCCCGTCTGAAGTTTGCCAGAGAGCATATGGATGATCCAGAAGAGGATTGGGAGAATATCATGTGTTCAGATGAAACCAAAATAGAACTTTTTGGTAAAAACTCAACTCGTCGTGTTTGGAGGAAGAAGAATGCTGAGTTGCATCCCAAGAACACCATACCTACTGTGAAGCATAGGGGTGGAAAGATCATGCTTTGGGGCTGTTTTTCTGCAAAGGGGACAGGACGACTGATCCGTGTTAAGGGAAGAATGAACGGGCCATGTATCGTGAGATTTTAAGCCAAAACCTTCAGTGAGAGCATTGAAGATGGAACGTGGCTGGGTCTATCAGCATGACAATGATCCCAAACACACCGCTCGGGCAACGAAGGAGTGGCTCCATAAAAAGCATTTCAAGGTCCTGGAGTGGCCTAGCCAGTCTCCAGACCTCAACCCCATAGAAAATTTGTGGAGGGAGTTGAAAGTCCGTGTTGCCCAGCGACAGCCCCAAAACATCACTGCTCTAGAGGAGATCTGCACGGAGGAATGGGTCAAAATACCAGCTACAGTGTGTGCAAACCTGGTGAGGACTTACAGGAAACGTTTGACCTCTGTCATTGCCAACAAAGGTTATGTTACAAAGTTTTGAGTTGAACTTTTGTTATTGACCAAATACTTATTTTCCACCATAATTTACAAATAAATTCTTTAAAAATCCTACAAAGAGATTTCCTGGATTTTTTTTTTTCTCATTTTGTCTCTCATAGTTGAAGTGTACCTATGATGAAAATTACAGACCTCTCTCATCTTTCTAAGTAGGAGAACTTGCACAATCAGTGGCTGACTAAATACTTTTTTGCCGCACTATAAGGTCTACATACAATCCATGTAAAAGTAAGGGAATTAGGTGGTTCTTCATTTTGTGGTTTAAGAATGTTCTGTTGGGGTTAGAACACAAGAATGGAAATGTTAAAATATTGCCTTTGCTCAGAGCGAACAGATTGATTTATTATCCAGTATTCTGAGCCCTGCATGTGACACTGAAACGTGTGCATGGAGGACACAAAAGCATAGTGCACAGTGTATAGTAACAGTCAAAATTAGGATGTCAATGGTGTGTGTCCTTTGGATTTACACCTATATATGTATATGTGGTGTGTTGTATGAACATATAACATTTTAGCATGATGTATACGGTGATGAGCATAAGGTGCTTTTTATAAATAAATAAGTAAATGTGTCAATTCCAAAAACTGTGGTGTGGTTGCTGTGATTGGTCAAAAATGCATCTGTTTTCTTTAATGACCGTAATACCAACTGCACCATCTTGTCTATACAAACACCGATGTGTTTGTGGCATATTTGGAATACAAGTACTGATTTCTTTCCATATGTTACTACTTCCATCATTGTCCAGGTCATCCTGTGTAGAATTCGTAAGATGTCTCTTGGTCCTCTGCTTTAAAAGAAATTGACAAATCCGTCTATCGGTAATGGCCTCAAACATGGATGAGGCAGTTACTTTGTACATGCTGAACCTGTTGATATATTTAAATGACCTTCAGCCATCTCCTTAATCAGGATGAGGTTATGTGTGACGCATGATGATTGTCACAGCATTTGTGACGCACATATCTGCAACACAACATCACTTTACTTTGGGTTGGCCGACAGGATATCCGGCAAGATGGCCCGCATGGCTCTATTCTTGGCCATGTCCTCATTACTGTGTTCTCCTGAGACCTCAGTGATCAACGTGTGAACTCATTTGTCCCACATCTGCTCTCATTTCAGTCTGGTGGATTTGGTCTTTTCCTTGAGACATGGCAGGAAAACTCAGTATGACAGTCAAATAACTTTTCCATGCTGCTAATACAAGAACGTAAGGCAGGACAGGGGGCTAAATTTAGACAGATGTCAGCTCAAATGGTGGTGTATAAATGATTTAGTTCTGTATTTGCCCCCCACTCCCCCTCCCAGTCACCCAGCCTCCATTTTACCCTTTTCCACGACTCGACATCAAGCCACGCTGCCAATCTATGGCTGGCCCCAGTTCGCAGAGAGACATATAAAAAATAGATGCTGATTATCAATTCATGCAAAAGAAGTGATACGCCGTTCCCCCATCCTCTGTTTGGAAGAGAGGGCTCTGATAGTGATCATTTATTCACAAACAGTAGAGGTAATGGAGGATTGGGGAGGGGGAGCAGAAATGCCACTTAAAGTTTCACAATTTTTTAAAAAAGATCTCTCGCCACACAAATGCAAAAAACATTGAGCTGCTTCCAGCTGAAATACACTTTTCAGATTTACATAAGGTGGACAGAGCCCATGTTCTGGCTGTTAGTTTTGTTACGACAAAATGTTACCGTTTTATTGTTATTGTTTACTGAACTGCAATACTGTTCTGCATAGGCTATACCACAATAGTACGATGGGGAAAAAAGGACAAACACAAGTGATGCTAAGGGAACAGAGTGACTGAAGCAATGTTATTTAAGGGGTGGAAGAAAACAAAATAAATGGATTGCAATCAATAAATTGTACTGAAAAAAATGTACGCAGGTATCAGTAGCATGGTGGATAAGACCATGTACCAACGTAAAACACTTTGAATAAGAGCATCTGCTGTTACAACCCCATTACCAAAAAAGTTGGGACGCTGTGCAAAATGTAGGTAAAAACAAAATGCAATATTGTGCAAATAATTTAAACCCTATATTTCATTAAAATGCTTCAAAGACAACATATCAAATGTTGAAACTGAGCAATTTTATTGTTTTTTGAAAAATGTGTGCCCATTTTGAATTTGATGCCAGGAACATATTCCAAAAAAGTTGGGATGAAGCAATAAAAGGCAAATTTGTATAATGCTCAAAAAACACATGCTGGTTAATTGGCAACAGGTCAATAACATGATTAAGTAAAATCAAATATTCAAAAGTAAAGATAAGGAGGGGTTCACTACTCTGTGAAAGACCGCACAATCAAATAGTGCAACAATTCAAGAATAACATTTCTCATATAAAATAGCAAAGAACTTTTGCTTTTCATCATCTACTGTACATAATAACATTAAAGATTCAGAGAATCTGGAGAAATCTCTGTATGCAAGGGACAAGACCAAAAACCAGCATTTGCTGGCCGTGATCTTTGCGCCCTTAGGTGGCACTGCATTAAAAACAGACATGATTCTGTAGTGGAAATCACTGCATGGGCTCAGAAACACTTCTGAAAAACACTGTCTATGAAAACGGTGCAGCGGTGCATCCACAAATGCTAATTAAAACTCAAACTAATTAAATGCAAAGAAGAAAGCATATATAAACAGGATCCAGGAATGCTGCCACCTTCCCCGGGGTAAAATGGACTGATTGGAAGTGGAAAAGTGTCCTGTGGTCCGACAAATCAACATTTGAAATTCTTTTTGGAAATCATGGACACTGTGTCCTCTGGGCTAAAGACCACTCGGCTTGTTATCAGTGCACAGTACAAAAGCCAGTATTCATGATGGTATAGAGGTGCATTAGTGCACATGGCATGGGTGACTGGCACACCTGTGAAGGCACCATTAATGCTGAACGATATATACATGTTTTGGCAACATATGCTGCCATCCAGACAACGTCTTTTTCAGGGGAAGTCAAACCACATTCTGCATGTATTACAACAGCATGGTTCTGTACTAAAAGAGTCCAGGCACTAAACTGGCTTGCCTGCAGTCCAGACCTGTCACCCACTGAAAACATTTGGCGCATTATGAAATGAAAAATACAACAAAGGAGACCCCAAATTGTTAAGCAGCTGAAATCTTATGTTAACCAAAAATGGGAAAACATTTCACTTTCAAAACTACAGCAATTGGTCTCCTCAGTTCCCAAACGCTTACAGAGGGTTGTTAAAAGAAGAGGTGATATAACACAGTGATAAACATGCCCCCGTCCCAACTTTTTTGGAACGTGTTGTTGGCATCAAATTCAAAATGGGCATATATTTTTGTAAAAAACAATACAATTTCTCAGTTTTAATATTTGATATGTTGTCTTTGTGCTATTTTTAATGGAATATTGGATTTAAATGATTTGCACATCATTGCATTTTGTTTTTATTTACATTTTGCACAGTGTCCCAACTTTTTTGGAAATGGGGTTGTAGATTGCAGGTGTATTTTTTTTTTAAATGTTGTGTTGCATTGTCATTTTTACAGTTCTGTTTTGCTTGATTAAAATGAATGTAGTGAACAAAGTGCAAACTTCATTAGGTTTTTTTTTTTGGATGCATATTTGGCATTCTAAAGTAATGAATCACAAATATCATATTACAGTTTCTTAGGATATCACAACATGGGCACACACTACTTTGAGAGACCTCTATAGATTATCTCCTTATGTTTTAATTGTTACATCTGTTGAAACTGTTGTTTGTCAACAGTGTTAGGATTATGATTAGGTCTAGAACAGGGAGTTTGGCTCCAACTCTAATCTAACACACCTGATCCAATTAATAAAGGCCTGCAGAGGGATCTGAATATTAGAGCCAGGTGAGTTGGACCTCTTGGACCTGGATTCTTCAGGGTGGTATATCTCCAGGATCGAGATTGAGCACCCCTGGTCTAGAATTAGGTTTAGGTTTTAGGGTAAAGTGAGGTAGTTACATTTTAACCTTTAATGCCTACAAAATAAGCAGACCAGGGCCTTCTAAAGAGGTCGTTCTCAGTTCGCTTCCAGATGAGCTTTGTTGCAGTATGTTTGATATAAGAACGCAAAAAAAATTGATTTTGCTTGCTTTTCTCTAGTACCTGTTTGATTCCTATAACACTTATCCTCCTGCAAAGCACATCAGGCTCATGGAAGAAACAGGCCAAGACACAGATGGATAGACAAGGGTCTAACCAATCAGAAAAAAAAATATATTCAAATTAAACCCCATAAAATGCCAAAACTTTTCACCAGTTTTGTGTGGCCTGTTTTCAAATGCTGTGTATTATTTCATTGTAGGAGTAGAAAACAATATGAAATATGGAGCTAAAGAAAAGTCCTAATCCGATCAATTTTGGTGCCAAAATCAGTTCTAAAACATGGCAAACATGGTCATAACTCATCTCAAACTAAATGCACAGCCTTAAATATCTGAGCCTTCGTTTGTGAGGAGTAGTGGGATATATTGTAAGCTCACCTCTCCTGTCCCTTTTCAGATGGATGAATAGGCTGGGGCTGGCAGCTATTGGTTACACACCTGATGACAAAGTGCCACGGCCGGATGAGGGTAAGGCCAGAATTAGATGTTCGTGCCCTTGACACACAGTGCTGTTCTAGTTTCTAGCTCACTCTTTGTGAGTGCAAGTGAGAGGAGCTTTTTAAATCTGCTTTCTCTTTCAGATTACTGGAGTGAAAGTGATCAGGATGATATAGATGGCTCCATGACTCTAAAGCAGGAAGTACCTTCTTCACTATGTGACACCTACCATCGGACACCCTCGGTATGTTGCACAAAAACAAATTTGCCATTTCCAAAACACAGGGGCACGCTCGTGAGCTCATTTTCCCTCTAGAACTGATAATTCTCTGCTGAGTCCAAGTTCAGTGGAATATTTCATTAAAATAGCCAACAATCTCCATCTCCTTGGGGAGTGAGATTCTAAGCTTGAATAAAACATCAGAGTCAGGCCAAGAGCTTCAAACTGCAGCTGCTATTAATTAGCTCAAGTTACTTGTACAGTACAGTATCCGTCTTGAGGATTACCAACTGCAGTGACACATTCAGCCACAAGATGGTGCCAAGTCCTTTTTGTACTTCAAACAGACTCTGCATTGATATAGGATGATGGAGTTGAGTGTGTGGAATAAACTCTACCTAAAAAAATGTTTTACATATACTTAGCTAGCTACTCATTCTAATGTTATCGTGCATATGTCTACTGGTATCACATGACCTAATTTACATTGTTTTTACATTGTTTTAACATTGTGGCGTGCTACAAGTGACAATGATTCTTTTAGTGTAGATTTGTGATAGAATTGGACGGAATTTGTTTTTTTTTTGTTTTGTTTTTTTTTTTCAATTTTCTGCTATCACAAGTCAATTTCATACCCTGTATTCAATTTAAGATACTCTGAAACTAAAGAAATAGCATGTGTTATTATACATTTTACTGGCCTTATTAAACAATGTGTAGTTCAATGTGTGGTTCAGTCTATGGTAGAGAAAAGGACTCAAGTATTTTTACAGTGGTGTTGAATGGAACCAGGAATTGCGATGTCTACCACACAAATAATAGAGCCTTTTTTACTTTTCAGAATGACCGGTGAACCAGTGTTTTTTATATGCAGTGTTGATGGTAATGCAGTGGTAAATCTAGTTTTTCTTAGGAGACTATTTTGCCACCACTAAAGAAATGGTATTCTGTATATTTTACTAAACATTTTACTGGCCTTTTTGAACAACGTGCAGTAGTTTGTTTATTCTGCTGGCATTTCTCTTGAACTTCTGGGTCACAGAAGACCATTAAGGGTACTACAGTAGTCCCCAAAAATTGTCAGAATGTAGGCTGCATTTCTCAGCTGTGTTCAAAGGATCTTTCTGACTGGAATAGCCTTTGATGACATAGCGGTCTAGAGACACAGTCCACCTGGACTGCAGCCTTTAGGAACACAGCTCATGAGTTGAATTCAGAGTGTTAGCAAAGGGCAAATCATAATCTCTGCAGGGGTGTGAGCCCTCTAGGAACTGAGTTTGACAGCCCTGTTCTACATACTCATTTTTCATGTGATGCCACTCTTCTGCCCTTCTCCCCACTCCCCTTAAATATTCTGCACACTTTATCTTGCCTTTCCTTCCTACACTCTTCTCCTGTCCTGCCCCATCGTGGCTTCCTACCTGTCCTCAGGTTCACAAGCTGCACTGCTCCGAGCCACTGGCCGCTCCGCTGCCACGCTCACAGAGCTCTGTGAACCTGATGCGCTCCACTCCCTCCCCTCTTCTTCCACAGGTCAACTCATCTAGCCCCTTCCCTGAGCCCAAGCACGGACGCCACTTCTCCAGCGAGTCCACCTACTCCCACTCCTCAGCTGAGGACTCCCGGGGCGGGGACGGCGGAGGTGGGGGCTCCAGCAGCACTCATTCGTCAGGCTGCCGCTCCAGCCACCGAGAGCGCCGCTCCTGGCAGGACCTGATCGAGACGCCATTGACCAGCTCTGGCCTGCACTTCCTGCAGACTGTACCACCAGAGGGTGAGCATGGCTATGATGGCGGGCCTGGAGCTGGAGGGCGCATGCCCCTGTCCCCTGAGCACAGGCGACAGGCCACTCTGCCCGTGCGGAGGCATCACGTGGACCGTGATGGGCCTTTTCCACTGGTGGGCAGTGAGGACAGGGGACACCAGCTGCATCGCAGGGCCCACAAGCAGCGTAGTCAGAGCCTGCCACGCAACCGAGAGGTGAGGGCCAGGAGCTTGCTGCAGGGTCACGGAGAGGAGAAGAGTGAAGACGAGGAGGTGCTGCCTGCTAGGTGTGGTGATGACAGTGAAGAAGGTGAGAACTAAAGCACACAGTCTAAAACCTGGCAAAAAAAAGAAGTTTACAGATCTTTCTCCTTGCTCCTATCAAATGTGTTTTGGACAAAAATTAGCCAAAACATGTTTGGTGTCCAAAGTTAAAATAAATGGTGTACTGTTTTGTACTAAAAACTGACAAAAGTTTAAGCTTTAAGATGGTGGCTTCTGCTGTTTTAGCTATTCTTCTGTCTATTTTGTAGATAACAGCGTACCATACAGTGTTAGAAACAACTAAAAGTCTATTTGAGGTTTTGACGTTGATGCAAATATATAAAGATTTAGAGGTGCAGTTTGGGCTAAATAGTGAAGTATAAACTTGTAATACTTTTTGGGTACATTAGTCTTATATCTACAGTACAAAACAAAAGAAGCAAACTTCAGACACCTGACATAAAATAGTTTATATTTGGCTTATCATCATGCAAATTTTATTCACCTAACTATTCCTTGCTAAGCAGTCATAGAGTTGTCAATTCCAGTCCTGGGCGACTATAGCTTAGTATTTTCCTTAACCAAGATGACATGATTCATTATCAACCCTTTCATCACTCATGTCATTGAAGTAAAAAGAATCAAAAACTTGAGAACCACTGTCATAATATATTTTTTCACCAGGCAGTATGGTACAGCATAGCATGGAACGGTTAAATCTGAGCCCAGAACTATCTGTACCCTTGTTAAGTACCTGTTTGCATTTCCCATCTCACAGTGAACCATAAAAGTACTTGCAGTTCTCTTTAGTTTGTGTGGTTCCATAATTTTCTCATGCAAATCCGGTGTTAACAGTAGCAACAATGGAGAGGAGCTTCAAGTTCAGTTTTCCTGCATTTAGTTTTATGTCAAGAATCACAGACAGACATAGCCTAGTGTTTTTTTGTTTGTTTGTTTTTTATGGCAATCATCTGACTCCAGTGACTCCTCGTGACAATTCTGTGGGAAAATACTTCTAGCTCCCCTCTTATGATCTGGCTCAGCACGCTTGGTATCCCAAAAAGAATGGTAAACAAATTTAGCACAGGTATGGTATGGGGTTTGCTAAGGTTCACTTGGCAGTGGAAATGATGACAAAATGTATGATCATGGAGTTGTTGGAATACTTTACTGCCCAGTGGGAAAAAATAGTCAACTATTTCTGAACTTCTTTATATTTACATTATATTCATCTGGTTCAACTCATTAATGGCTAGGGAGATGAATTAACTGAAAACTCTGCTTCAAGACATCAAAAGCATTTCAGCATGGCTGTTTTACCTGATACCAAAGGAGTAAAAACGTGTGCCATCACATTTTAAATGTGCTGAATAACTATTTAATAAGAAAAGGTGAAGAACTTCAGTTTCACTGTCCTTGTGTCCCATTAACATGTTGCGTCTGTTATGGGTTATGAATGTCTTTATAATTAGCTGGTGATTTGAAGCAGGTTTGTTAATGTCTGCCAAGACTGGAGCAGAGAAATACTACTGAGTAAAGAGCGCTGTTGTAACTGCGTTGCTCACAATCTTGACACAACACTGTAGGTCAATTTGCTCTCTGTTTCTTGTGTCCAGCAAGCAAGAGGTATGATGGAAAGGATGTGGATGGACTGGAGGAGCTCTATCGTGCTCTAGAGCAGGCCAACCTCTCTGCCATCGGTGACCTCCGACCCACCACCAAGCAGGAGTTCCGTCGTTCCTTCCTCAAGCGCTGCAATGACCCCATCATTAATGACAAACTGCACCATGTCCGAATCCTCAACAGCACACTAAAGGTGGGTCAGTTGTTCTTTATTCATTGATATTGTTGAATTAGCCATATGATGCAATATAGTTTATATTTGAGTCATTTGATATAGTAGCTCGAGAACCCCAGGGTATACTTTCTAGGAGTGGTCGTGACTATTAGATCTAGGCCTCCAGTTTGGCCCATAAATCTACAAACAAAAAAAAACTGGAAAAATGTTAATTACTGCTAGCTTCTCCAAGGGATTCTAGTAGTATGTTAGCAGTAAGTTAACCATAATTTACATGAACAATTTTTGGACCCACTCATTGCAAATCAAAACATGATTTATTGATTCCTGTGTCACTTCTTAATTATACTGGTGGTTAATGTTAGGCCTTCAGTCCAGCTCTTACAGTCTTAACCAGATACCACTGAGAACAAAATCCTGATTGGATAAGCTTCCATTGGGTGTTTAAAAATGTAACGCTTTTGTTTTGTTTGAGTATTATGACAATGCCTTCAACATTTGAATACAACAAGCATGATGAATATATTAAACTAAAAATTACGGACAGTATTTTTATTTTACAGAAATGACTAGGGTTTCTCTGAAGGCCTAAAAGGCCCAGAGGATTTTCCACTGCTTTCTGGACATAGATTTAGCCTTCACAGTCAATTAGGATTTTAAAATCAACAAATTCAAATTACTCTCATTCATCTCAAATTATTGACTCTTACATATGCAATAATATGGCTCATGCTGGTGTGGGATAACAAGCAAGCTGGCAAAGATATCATGCTAATGTTTATATCTGCTCTCCTTCAGGCAAAGGAGGACGAGCTGGCCATTATCAATCAGCTGCTGGAGGACCCTGGCCTCACCTCGAAGAAGTTTCGTGAGTGGAAACAGTGGCACCACGAGCTTTTCCTGGACATTTGCGAGTTTAGCTCAGGCAACAACGGGGCAGCTGATCTTTCCCCGCTAGCAGGTCCTCTCATGACGCACACACACTCCTTCATCGAGACCCACGTCTGAGACCAGGTCCAAATGGTGTTTGGATGCACTCCACTGCTGCCTCAGTTTTTCTCCATCCCTCTTCGATTCTTCCTTTCTTCCCACGATGCCGAACCAACTGACCAACCAACCACTGTAACGTGTGTAAATACGGCCGAGAGGGCAAGCAGACTCCATGTAAATACTCTGATGAGCGACAGCAGCCCTTGCAGGGTGCCTACTGCATGTCTGAAGAGAAAGCATTCTTCCTTCTGTCGAATGACCTAAGCTAGAAAGTTCTGAAGAAAGTTCTTTTTACTACTTTACAAATTTTGATTACTTTTGATTAGATTAGCCTTTCTTTTGCTATCTCTGGTTGGGTTGCAGTGTGTTACTGGAGGAATAGTAGTAGCAATACAGAGGGGGACCGTTTCCACCACAACACTGTACTTTCATATTAAACTTTGCACCCATGATGCTCTGATAACTCTATTCTCTTCATACTATTCTTACTGCTGATTATGACTATTAGAAATGCAAATCAGAAACCTGATAAGATGATTGCGATCACACCATGCATTATTAGGAGTGATCTAAGCATTGGTCTTTCCAGGCTTTTCACTGGAACTCATTCTATGAAGGTGAAAGTGTACCTAAATGGAGGCAACACCTTACAACAGAAATACAGACCTTCATGTTTGCTTAGAAGTAGCCACTGTTTTAAACTGTGAACTATTCTTGTGAATGCAATCTTTCGATTCTGTGTGTACAGAATCACCTAAGACAGTTTTTTTTTGTAGAAAAGCATAGAAAACTATATAAAAAATAGATATATACATAATTACAGTACATTGCTTGAATGGTTACTTGTTGCTTAAAAGGTGTAGATGGAAAATCCCACTCTGGAATTAGACTGATTGACTCTGGAATTCATAGAGAGTTCCAGTTGATATCATTTATTTGCTTTGTTTGTTTGGTATGGGTTGTCATTTCAGTCAAATGTTGTGCTGCAGTTACACATATGAGCCTATACAAGCACATTAGGAGGGTATGAAATTACGTGTAGGTGTAAAGATGCACTACAAAGAATGCACTTTTGGTCACTGCATCACAGGGTCAAACTTGACAGCTTAGAAATTTGGTGGACAGACAGAATTTGGGGTCTAAATGTAATGAAAGATGTCTACAGTCTTTCAGAAATATTTCTAGATCAGTCTAAATCGGACATACCATAGATTCACATACTATTTGAGCTGAGTTATTGTATTTGCTAGAATTGTTAAATACTAATAGCCCCTATCAAACAGTCAAACTGAGCTTATTGAAAAAGTGCCACACAAAAATAACAAGAAAAAACTGATGCCAATATAAAAGACAGCTGCCAGTTAATAACTATATTATTGAGAATGACGATTTGATCAAAAGCCTTTTAAAGCATGTGTTTGAGACTGATCCATAAAGGAAAATATTTTACAATTGTATTCTGGTTATGAGAAAATAGATTTTACTTATTGCCTGTGGACTGGATTATTTACAAAGAGCACAAAAGATAGGAGTTTTATCATTAGCTAAGTACTGAATTCAGGAAGAATCGCCAGTATTGATACAATGCATGTGTGCTAGTATCCTAGCTGATGTTTTACTGGCCAAAACGACGGGTACGGAGACTAAATGAATAATTTGTCAGACGCCAAGCAGTGTTCATGGGTTTACAACGACTGTGGGTGGAGCCGAGCGAAATAAAACCAAAATATGTACATATCTCCACATACATTGCAACAATGTAAATGGCATAACTACTCTGCTGTACACATGGCCTTGTTTTACTGTTTTATGAATCTTACTGGTTTAGGAAACACTGCAGACTTTGGTCTGATGTAGCAGCACATGCAGCATCACAATGTGAATTGTACATTTTCATTTACTTCTTTTAAATTATAACCTGAGTAGGCCAAGGACTCATATCTTTACTTTGTTTGTCACTACAGCTGCAATCAGTATGTTTTTCTTTTTTCTTATATTACAATAAAAGTAAAAACAGTTCTAACCGGTCAAGAACAACGCAATGACTATTATGACACATTGTATTGCGGTAGAGGTGGGGGGAAAAAACATACTGACTGTAGCTTTAAAACAGTGTGTTTTCACTGTGAGATGCCAAAGTAACTGCATCGTTACAAGCCTTTAAACAACAACATCCCTCACCAAGGGAGAACTGTATTACTAACTGGCCATTAGCACAAATAATTATACTCCGTAAAGCAGACCACATAGTTCTTTTCAGTTTTTTATATTAAAAACTGCTTACAGTTCACAGAAGAACCAAGCATTCCCAAACAATAATGCATTGCCTTGCTTTGACAACAAATTTGCATCTTTCTCTGTTCCACATACATTTGTATTTAATACTTTTTAGTATGATACTGGTTTAGATGATCTGTTATTCCTTTCTTTTGCACTGTATTTATTCATTGGTCAATCTTCTAAGATCAGTCAGATGGGACTCCACTGTGTGTTTTTAAAGGAGTGTACTCCTCATAGTACATTGCACAGGTGTGTAAGATGTAAGTTGCACTGCGACATTAAAAAAGGAACATATTGCTCTTTTTCAAGGATATTACTACTAGCCAACTGTTATTCTGTACATTATATTATGAAGAGAGGATATTAAAAAAAGCAAATTACATTTATTCTTCCTAAAGTAGCCTTTTTGTTTCATATATACAAATATATATTAACAGAAATCCAGATTGTAAACTTCAGTTGTAACTTTGAATTCAATAAAATAAATTCACTGCACTATAAAACTTGGCATGTTTTCAGAGTGAATTATTGTGGTTAGGCTTGTGAACTTAAAATCATTTTCATTTTCAACTGTCAGACAGCACTTTTCCGATGCTTTGTTCAGTAACTATTCCACGACTCCACTTTTCACAAACAACGCAAAATACATAATCCATTTAAAATACACTCACTGGCCAAGTGCCTGCATGAACTCTAACTTCAACTATTCAGACATTGTTTACCTCCCTCACACCGCCGTTCTTCACGTTCTTACACCAATGTGAAGGGCTGCTTATTTTATTGAAATAAAACGAATAAATCTGTCGGACATCACGATGATGACATGAGAAGCGATAAATTATTTTTAAAATACTGTGTCTCAGACTGGATGTGATCTAAGAACAGACTTTTCTTGGACATGCGAACAGAAATCTAACTAACCTTTCCTTTAAGCCAGGGGTTGGCAAAATGCGGCTCTTTTACTGCCCTGTTGAGGCTCCACAGCATAATTTGATTTTTAGGTAAAAATAAACGAATCCTCCCTTGCAGTAAAATAAAGCTCTGCTGATCGTTCTAACACAGTTTAACAATAAATGGTCTTAAACACTGAAGTTAATGTATAACTGCTAATTCACCCTTTAACCCTAAAGGTTGGCACTCAGACTGCCGGTCACCACAGTCAACGCAGACAAGAATCTCGCCTAGCTAGTAGCTAATGAATGGCAAAGAGAAAGATTTAAGATGAACATCAATAATTTGGAGATGAATGGACTTATTTACATTTATAAGCACTCAGCTGGTTTCCTGATACGTTTAATCTGCAACGAGAAACTGTCAAACACTAAAAAGTCATGAGGCTGAAGTCAGCTTCTCATTCGCCAGCCTGTTGTTCAAATTTTCACGTTCCACCTTAAATGGTGCAACAGTTAGCTACATAGTTAGCTACATTCTCGCGCCTCAGGCAACATTTAGGGTGGAATGGGAAAATTTGAACAAGAAGCTGTAAAAAGTCAAACGTTGAGAAACATTTTACAAGAAACTATTCTATTATTATGGAAAGGTTTCCTGCTGGAGATGTGAGAAAAGCGGCTTTATCTGAGCTAAAGCTTAAAGTAAAGCAAAGTAAGTCTGTGTTTTCATTTATATTTTTTAGCCTGTACTAGTACATAAGCACATACTGAGACATATTTACAGTCAAGCTGGTAAAATGTTACTTCAGTAAAATGAACATGAAATGAAAAAGACGTGAAATGTTGTGGCTCCCAAGATGGTTCGATTTTTGTTGAAACTTGACAAAATGGCTCTTCTTAACATTTGGGTTGCCGACCCCTGCTTTAAGCAGATAGCAAAATACAAAATTATAAACGCAGCATTTGCTATTGTGCGAAATAAAAATAAATGAACTACTAACAGCTACTCACATCAGAACTGCAGTTGCATTACCTCTACAGCTTTTTACATAAAGGCTACAAAAACAAATATGTTAAGCTGCGCATGTGTGTGTTTCGTACATGGCTGTTCAGTGAAATGGTTAAGTTACTCGTCCCTGTGTGGGGAGCATCCCGGTGTAAAGACATGCTCATTAGGCTTCTAACAGTTTGTGCCAGCAATGTAATGACATCTCTCTGGTGCTGCCTGTATGAGGTAATTTGATCTGTTCTGTCATTGCTGTTCTAACGATGTGTTTATCATGTTAACGATAAAAATACGATTTAGCGTACAGCCATCATAACAAATGCATGCGTCATCATAACAGGCTTCTAAAAGTAGTTTCTGGTTTCCATGGATTTAATTCTCATTGTCATTGTGATAGGCTTCTAACAGTAGTCATCGTACATCACTGATTAATCAAAATACTTTTGTGCAGTAACAGGCTCATCTCTCTTTTTTTATTCAGTGTTCACTATCGTATATTCACTATCAGATCTTTATTCTGTATTTATATTGCTCACAGTTTCTCTTAGAGAGTTCTTCCTTGGCTTGCTCATTTGGGGCTTGGGCCCAGATTTTCTACAAAGCTGCTGTGTAGAGCCGAGAAAATCCATCAGTCATTGATCAGGTCAGTTATGGAAGACAGGCTATGCATTATTTTTATTAAAAAGTACTCTCTAAATTCTCGTATTATACATGAGAAGCCTGTCCCAAAAGGTGCCCCAAGCTCAGCAGTCCTTCTTAAGTCTGCACTTTGGTAAAAATTTGGTAAAAAAAATTAGCTAATTAGCTTATTAACAGGCAAGATAAATTAACAAACTCTTACATTGTGATTCACATCTGAATATCTTCTTGTCTGCCATTTTGGTCAGAGAGCTGTAAACAAACCCCTACACTGTCATTGGGCCTAGCTCATATTAAGGTGATGAACAATTTGCCTATTTTGAAAGACAATCAATTGAAACTTAAAAAGAATTAAAATAAAAAGTAATAAAGTACAAACCTACAGTGGCCAAATTGGCTGATTAGCCAATTTGCTTTCTAGCACTCACTACTTAAAGATAAAAAAAACATACTGATAAAAACAGCTTACCGCTGCCCTTCTAAAGTCTTACAACACCAATCAGAAATCAGAACTTTTGTTGTTTTCATAAGACTCGTGACAATAATTA